GTGGCAAGAGTGAACAACCTTGTCTTGTTCCTGATCTTAGGAGGAAAGTTCCTGATGCTTCATTCACCATTAAGTATCGTGTTAGCTGTGAGTTTTTCATACATGCCTTTTATCAGGTTGAGAAAGTTCCCTTCACTTCCTACTTTGAATATTTTTCTCATGAGAGGTGTTGGATTTTGTCAGATGCTTTTTCTGCATTTATTAAGGTGATCATTTGGTGTCCTTTTGTTCTTGAAGTCTACCTAGTATTTATCTTTTTTCCCCGTTAATGCTGCTTGTCATATGGTAGGCTTTTTCACTCTGAAGACATATCTTTTTATCTCAGAGAAATTTTATCTTTTTTTTTTTCTTTCTGTCAATTCTTTTCTTCCTGAAAGCTTCTTATATGGATTTTGGAGTTTCCATGTTGTTCAGGTTTCCTAACTTTCTTTCACAATCTGTCTCGTTAACACTTTGCTGTATATTCTGCAAGATTTTCTTTCTAGATCACTGACTCTATAACTGTGTCCATTCTGTTTTTTAGCTCTTCTATTCAGTCTTTTAAATTTTGATCATCTTAATTTGTCAATTTTCTTTTTTCGTTGCATTTTTATATTTATAGATGCAATATCATTTTGACCCTCTAGTTTTATACTTTATTTTTAAAATTATTTTTTATCTAAAGTATCTGTTTTGTCTAGGAACAGATTTTACATTTTCATCTTGGATCTTCCCTTTCATGTGTTGGTTCTTAAAATGTGTATTTAGCTTTGGTTGGATGAAGGACTAGGATGATGACTGTAGGTTGCTGGCATGGATTGTCTGTGATAGTGTAGTACTGCTTCCTAAAGAATGATGGGAGGGTTGACTGTGATCCCTCCAAGTGTCTGGTGAGCTCCAGGTAGGAAGACCAACTCCTCTACAAGTATCAGAGTAAAGTAAGCAGGGCTTTATTCAGGTGGGCGACTTATTTCACTCTTTGCAGAGCTGCCTTCCTTTACTTTCTCCATTTATCAGTTGTGGAGGGCAGAGTTAATGTGCTTTCTCTGCTTTTCTTCTCAAACCCCAGTACCCACATTAAGAGCCCTTCCCTGGACCCACTCTTTTTCATTTTTTAATATTTATGTGCTTGTTATTTAAGAGATTGTTATAGTGCTTTATCCTGGGGTCAGAAGCAGGTAGTCTCAAGGGCCCTCAGGGTGTCAAGAGGAGCCCTGTTGGCTCATCTATTTGCAGTATGAGTCTCTAATGCCTGATAATTGTTCCATGACTCATTCGTGCTTTTTGTGTATGTAACTCTCAGCGTGGAACTTCTGCAGGAGCCCCCCTTGAAAAGACCCAGCCTGTCTTACTGATGATATTTTAAGCTATGAATTTCTTTATTTTCTCTCTCAATCTGATGGCAGCTGCTTTGGAATGTTTCTTAAAATTCTAAATTTTTAAAATTTCTGATTCTCTGATGGTACTGTATCTTGTTTTTAGTTCTGTTATTATAATTTCACTTTAAAAATAGCTCTACTCTCTGTATTTCAGTGAGATGTTAGGAGATTCAACCTGTCATCATGAGTTAGAAGCCAATATTACTTTTATAGGAACAAAGTATGCAGAAATCTGGGGAGAATGTTTTGCTAGGTGGGGATTGGACTTAATTCAAAGTATAGTGGCTGGCTTAGCAAGGTGGGTTCTGTTCTCTTGTCCCTGGGACATTATTCTGTAATCAGTGACTTGTTGGGAGGCTGTAAGCTCTATTTTCCGGTTTTATGTGTCTAGCGTTTAACACACGGAGCTCTGGTGGCACAGTGGTTAAGCATTTGGCTGCTAACTGAAAGATCAGCAGTTTGAATCCACCAGCCCCTCCTTGGAAACCCTGTGGGGCAGTTCTGCTGTGTCGTATAGGGTTACTGTGAGTCAGAATCGACTTGATGGCAACGGGTTTGGGTTTCTCTTGTTAGTGTTTAACACAGGACCAGGCACAGACATTCACAATATTGAATCAGTGATCAGAATTAGATCATTTTTTCTACCACAGACTCAACTTACTGTAACAACAAGTCCTTATTATTTGTGCAGTACGTTTTACATTTTGAAGGTATTTTCATTTTCATGAGGATGTGCTACCTCCTAACCTGTGTCCCACTTCCTCAGATGATTTTACAATTTTTACTTCTTATCATTGGGTTATTTATATAGGCATTTTTACAGAAAGGTTTAATTTGGAAACATCCCACTCAGTCACGCATTTAGCACTCTCAGTTTTCTAGGAGAAAACTTAGAAACGAGCACATATTTAAAAAAAGCATTTTAAGAAAACCTATAAACCAAAATCTAGATATTTGTAGAACTTTTATAAGTAGTCATTTGATTCTTATTGGTTCTTACTATAAACACAATTCAAACAATCGTATTTGTTTAGAAAGAAAAAGGGGAGAATTATAAGAGCAATCTAATGATAACTGAAAGAGATTACATTTGTATCATAGTAGAACTGTAGTATAATATTTGAGGTTCATTATGGTGACCCTTAATCATTAAGAAAAGGTCAGATTTGCTGCATTTTAGAAGGGTTAGAGAACATTTTCAGTTATTTGGACTTACACAGACCTGTCTTCTAACTGCCACTCTGCCATTTACTGGCTATGCAAACTGTTTAACCCCTTTGAGATTGTTGTTAGGTGTGGTTGAGTTGATTTTGACCCATAGGGACTCCATGTGATAGAGTAGAACTGCCCCATAGAGTTTTCTAGGCTGTAATCTTTACTCGAGCGAGCGGATCTCCAGTTCTTTCTCCTGCAGAGAACTCCTGCAGTAGTTCTGGGTGGGTTGTAACTACCAGTCTTTTGTTTAGTATCCAAGCACTTAACCCTTGCACCACTAGGGCTCCTTTCTTTGAGATTAAAAACCAAAAAAAAACCCATTGCTGTTGAGTTGATTCTGACTCACAGCGACCCTGTAGGGACAGAGTAGAACTGCCCCATAGGGTTTCCATGGCTGTAATCTTTACGGAAGCAGACTGCCACATCTTTCTCTCGTGGAGCAGCTGGTGGGTTGGAACCGCCAACCTACTCACCAACCTTTCTGTCAGCAGCCGAGCACTTTAAACGCTGTACCCCCAGGGCTCCTCTCTTTGAGATTAGTTCCTCTTTTTTTTTGGACTTCTTTGAACCCCACATTGTTCTTTTCTTTTCCCCTTCTCTTAAGAGAGAGGAGGGCATCTACTCTTAAATGTTTTCTACCTAGAATGACCCCATCATCTCTTTCTCTGCTGTGACTACTTTTTGTTTGTTTTTTCAAATCTTAACTCCGATGTTACTTTCTTAAGTAATTCTTTCCTGACTCTCTGGGTTATCTCTAGGTTATGTACCCTCTTGTAGGCTCTGATAGCACTTATCCTAATTTTAATTTTGCATGTATTATGGGATTATTTAGTCAACATTTTTTTTCAACAAATATTTATTGAAATCTTGGATTTCAGCTTGGATTCTTAGCTTCATTAAGGCAGAGTAAGGAGTGGGTCTGTCATTTTGTTTCTGTTTTTCTTGGCTGTTGTGTCCCCAGCACCTACTACAATGCTTAGCACTAGTGAGTGAGTGCTCAATATGTAGTTGTTGGATGAGTAAATAAAATGAGGACAGTAATACTGCCTAGCTTACAAGGCTGTATGAGACTTCAAGGAAAACATTTGTATGAGGTGCTCAGCTTGTTCAGGTCATGGTCGTAACAGTACCTGTAACTGTTAACGAGAGAAGTCTACTGCAGTCATTGAGAGCGGCCATTGTGGAGCAGACAGCCTGCAGTTCTCGTGAGACACATCATGTTACTGTGACCCTGCAGAAGGTGCTTAATGTTATTGAGTTCCATTTTCTTTACCTGTAAAATGGGAATAATAATAATAGCAGCAATCACAACTACCGCCACCACCTTCCAGTGTTGTTGTAAGGATTACATGTGGTCATGTCAGTGACATATTTACCATGCAGTAATTGCTCAATAGATAGTGGTTATAGCATTATCACTGTGATAAATGATTAGAAAAATAAATAAATATGTGGAAAGTATCGGAAAGATTTACATATGTGTGAACATTCCATTCTCTGATCAATAGTATTACTGTATTTCTGTTATTTCATAGTCCTCAGAATATCTAATATTTCCTTGTTATGACTGTGATGGTGATACAGTATTAGGTGCAGTTGTACCATATTTTAAAAAGGACTATCAGAAGTCAGAAGTATAATGATTGTATATTCCTGAATAGTTGAATTATATTAAATCCTTTACCTTATAAATTAAAAAATGCCTTAGAATGCCCTATAAATCTATGTATAACAATCACAGCCATCAAGCGACAATACTGGAAATCAGCCTGGACTTTTGGACCACTGTGTGTTTGAGCCCTGGTGATGCAGTGGTTGAGTGCTTGACTGCTAACCAAAAGGCTGGCGGTTCGAACCCACCAGCCGCTGCACGGGAGAAAGATGTGGCAGTCTGCTTGCATAAAGATTTACAGCCTTGGAAACCCTATGGAACAGTTCTACTCTGTCTTATAGGGTCACTATGAGTCAGAATCGACTCAGTGGCAATGGGTTTGTGTGTTCCTGGATACTGTTTGCATATTTAGGAAACTAGTCTGAATACTGTAGTGTCTACTGTCCTTCCTCACTAGTCAGTCACTTGCATCCCCTGTGCACTGGATGCTTCACGAGCCTGTTCTGACAAAAGCATGTCAAAATGCAAGTGAGAATAACATGTTATTATAGGAATAACTTCTGTTTCCTCTAAGTAAAAATCATAAGAATGTGATATTTTAAACCTGTTTATAGGAACATGGTTCAAGCCACCATGTCTCAGCCCCTGTGTCTCATATTTGGATTGTTTTACTTTCATTTTGACCACATAGTCCTGACTTCTAACTTTCATCAGAAGGGGCTTGTTTTATGTAGAGTTAATCACTTAATTCATATAGATGTTTGTGGAGAAAGATGCAAAACTTTTTTGTGATTGGTGATATACCTTTATTACAGGCTCAGCAAAACAGCCCCTCTTCTACAGGATCTGGCAACACAGAGCATTCCTGCAGCTCCCAAAAACAGATCTCCACCCAGCACAGACAGACCCAGGTCAGTGGTGGATAAGCCGTGGAGGAGAAGCTCTGCTTAGGAATCAATGCTGACCACATCTAATGTCTATAATTCCTCTCTGTCTTCTTGTTTCTCTGAGTTTACCTCATTATTTTTATGTATTGCATTCAGAACTTGCATGATTAGTATTTAAAGTCGTCTGACAATGCTTTAACTTTTTGAGGCTTTGCTTCACATTCTGGCTCTGCAGTTGACACTTTGTCTTCTTTTGGCCTGTTTTCTTGAGTACAAATCATCTGTAAAATGTGATTGATTCTAATTCTGACAGTGTATACAAAATGCTTATTAGGACAGCACTTACAGTAGGCTTTCAGTAAATGTTAATTCCCTACTTTGTGAAAGTAATTAATTCCCATAAATGTACTTATTTAGCAAGACCTAACTGAATTTCTCTAAGATGTGGTACACCAATGTAATTTTCTTGTTAAACAGTCTTTAGAAACTCTGTTTAACAAGTAATGTTGTGAGTATTCATAGATTATATCTGAAAAGGATGTGGATATACCCTCTGTTTTGTAATCTAGAGCTACCCAAATAGTATACTAGGTTTTCTTGCAGCCTTTTTGGGTGCTATCTGTGTTGGCTTCAAGACAACATGCTTGGCAATCTAGAAGAATTTAAGTCTCAAGAGCTCTAAGACCCTCAGGAGCAGATAAACTGCTTTTCATTTTATCTAAGTCACCAGCTCTTTGGACAGTTGAACAGACTTAGTTGACCATTCAGGTAACTTCTCTCTCCTTCTGATTGCTCTTTGTCCCCACTAGATGGCATGTTTGTTCTTTAGAGATTTGCGTCATTTCTCCACTGAGATCTTTTTCTCTTCAAAGTGGATTTTCGTTTCTAGAGTAGTGTATTTCTGTATTATTCAATGCATAGTAGTTTGAGAATTCATGTGATTCCACAGTTAACATGTTTTTGAAGGTGTCAGTATAGCAGGATGTAAGGAAACCAGCTAACGCTTAAAGAATGGGATGAAAAAAGCAGATTTAATTTCTTGAGTCATGTGATTCCTGGCTATTTGTGTCAACAAGTGCTTTTTCCAGAAAAATAATGAGTAAAATATGATTACATTAATATTTTGAGATGAATCCTAAATTTGTTTTGCCCTTCTCTGTATAGTCTGACCTCACAATAGAAAAAATATCTGCACTAGAAAACAGTAAGAATTCTGACTTAGAGAAGAAAGAAGGAAGAATAGATGATTTGTTACGAGTAAGTATTGAAATGTTGTTTATAACAGACAGTGATTGATGGTATGTGTATTTGGATCATGTTAGTAACATAAAAATAATTACTGGAGCCAAATGGCAAAGTTAAATAATTGATATTTGGATATTTTCCATTAATGTGAAGCAGTCTGAGTAGTAACCAGGATCATACCTACATCCTAAGCACTCTCTTTAAATTGAAAAAGCCTTACTGTACAATGTTAATATTTTAATTAATATTAGAGAAATAGATATGTAAAGTATTGTATTTAATTTGGAATGCTGGGAATAATTATAAAGTGTTCTCATTCCAGGGAAGTTATTTTGATGTTCTTTGAATTTTTTAAAAATCATTCCATAAGGACTTTTCAGCCCTGGTTTTATATCTTATATTTTTTATAACCTTTTTAGTCAAATTTTTTTGTGCTTACAAAAGAAACTTTAAAATGTCTAGTCTAGAATTGGAGCCCTGGTGGCACAGTGGTTAAGCTTTTGGCTGCTAACCAAAAGGTTAGCAGTTCAAATCTACCAGCCACTCCTTGGAAACCCTATGGGACAGTCTCATCTGTCCTGTAGTGTTGCTATGAGTTGGAGTCGACTCTACGGCAATGGGTTTAGTCTAGAATTTAAAAAGCTACCTCTGAAATATATATCGGAAACCCTGGTGGCATAGTGGTTAAGAGCTACGGCTGCTAACTGAAAGGCTGGCAGTTTAGATCCACCAGCTGCTCCTTGGTAACCGTATGGGGCAGTTCTACTCTGTCCTGTAGGGTCGCTGTGAGTTGGAATCGACTCGACAGCAACGGGTTTGGTTTTGGTTTTAAAATATATATCATAATGTTTTAAAAATATATTTTGAATATTCAGTTTGAGATGATTGGCCTGTTCTTCAAAAAATGAAAAAGATATTTATTGTTTTCCTGATGTAACACCCTGTAAAATGGTGGTGGTGGTGGTAGTAGTAGTAGTAGTAGTGGTAGTGGTAGTGGTAGTGGTAGTGGTAGTGGTAGTGGTAGTGGTAGTGGTAGTGGTAGTGGTAGTAGTGGTGGTGGTGGTGGTGATAGTGTCAGAACCTGTCTAACTTCAGGGGGTATAATGCAAATTGGGATCATCCCAAGGCTGATCAGTATGAGGTGGAGGTCAGATATACCTCCACCCTCCAACCTTTTTACCAGTTCTGACACCAGCTGTTCCTCCCACGGCACTCTCTACTTCTCTACTGGGTTTGATAATCTGTTGCAATGGCTGCACAGAGCTCACAGACCATACTTAGCAGTTAAGTGGTTTATTAAGGAAGCAGCAGGGTACAACTCAGGATCAGGATCAACAAGCTACAACTCAGGATCAGGATCAGGAAGCATGTAGGCAAAGTCTCCCTACTTAAGTGCAGGACAGCTCTCAGCTCCTGTCAGCCCCCTCAGGACAGGCTCCTTTCAGCCACCTCTAGACTGGTTCCTCTTGGCTCCCTCAGCACAGACTCCTCTTGGCCCTGCCATCTGTCGCCACCGACTCTACTGCAGGACCCTTCCGGTCCTGGCAGCGCCAGCTCTGCTGCTGGGCCCCTTCTGGGCCTCTCACTGTCTTCAGTGTTATAGCCCTTGACCTGTGCTATAGAAGGTTCCTTGCCTCCTCTCTCTCTATGCTTCTTTTCTCTTTTCTCTGCTTCTTTTCTCTTCTCTCTTCTTTTTTCCTTCTGCTTTTGTCTGCTTCCTGTCTTCCTGCTGTTTTCTGTCTGAAAAACCTCTGTGGGGTTGGCTGCTTATATACACAAACTCCTCGTCAATTTCAAGGCATGGCCCTCCCACCAGGCCAGGAAATCCCCTCTCCCTAGGACACAGACACTTCATTTGCATAGTAGGCTACAGGTATTTCATTTGTATAGTCTATTGACCAATCCCTGCAAGTTGCATACCAGTTACAGAGCAGGCTGCAGCCCAGGGCCGGACAAAAAGTATCTAACCAAGTTGTTTACAGCTTACCCAGGAAATGTCCATCAACCTGAACAAAAGTAATAAACCCTCTAGGGTAGAAAACGAGGGGGAAAATCTCTCAAGCTGGTTTTCCAAAGAAGCAAGGCAAAAGGCCACATAAAGGAACTCACTTCACCACACACCCATAATTCCATTAACTGAGATAAAACATTTGGTATATTTCTCTCTAGTGATTTTTTGGAGCTGTTTGTGGTATATATACATATGCACATACATGTAAATATTACTGATTTATAAATAAAACTGGCTAACGTTTTTATCTACTCCATTCATTTAGAAGGTACAAGTTTGATACTTATTTGTACTAACGCAGTAGTTTTCAAATTGACTCCATGGAACCCTGAAGGTTCTCTAGAGGAGCCTCTAAATCTACTGTGACTGGGCAGGGTGGGGAGCAGCAGCCATGCTTTTATCAGTTTTTCTTATTGGACTTTTCGGTCAGATTTTATTTGAATAAAGGGCTTGAATAAAGTCACTGTGTTTGTGATTATCTCTCCTCAAAAATATATTGCAAAATAGTGTATTTTGACTCCCTTATATGTAAGACTTGGAATTTAGCATATATTTAAGCCATAAGCCTTGTCTTTGTTAGTAAAATTGTTGATATTATTACATTATTATTTTTCATATTGTATATCCTATAAGAATAATTTCTTTTACAGGTGGTTTTATGATCAAATTCACAATAATTGATTGCACTTAAGTTTGTAAAACAGGTTTCAAAGCTCATTGGCATTGATTTTTTTTAATCACAGTTTTTGTCTGGTTTCATCTCTTGATTGACTGGAATACATTTTCAAGTAATTTTTTTTTCCAAAAGGTTATGTCAGTGTTTAATTTTGTGTGCTCCCGCAGAGCTGGGAATTCTTTCTCTTTCCCTCCCATATGAAAGACAGCACTGTATGTAACATTTTGTGTCATAACCTGTTGGCTTTTTCCCACCCTCAGAAATGTTTGCCTGCCTCTCTCTCTCTCTCTCTCTCTCTCTCTCTCTCTCTCTCTCTCACACACACACCTTTAATTTTCTATCCTTTAATGTTTTAGAGAAGTCTGTGACCAAAGGAACACAACCCATAATGTGTTTGCCGTGATGACTATAGGTACCCCCCACTTAATTCTTAGATTTCAGAAAATTTTGCCAGAATATATGCATATCTCTGTATTTTTAACTCTGAAAATGTGTGGTTATGTCTAATGGAGGCAGAGGTGGTTCAGTGGTAGAATTCTTACCTTCCTCGTGGATAAAACCCAAACCAAACCTGTTGCCGTCGAGTTGATTCTGACTCATAGCTACCCTGTAGGGCAGAGTAGAACTGCCCCATTGCGTTTCCTAGGATGAAATCTTTACAGAAGCAGACTGCCATGTCTTTCTCCCACGGAATGGCTAGTGGATTCTAACCACTGACCTTTCAGTTAGCAGCCAAGCGCTTAACCAGTGTGCCACCAGGGCTCCTCCCATGTGGGATACCAGGGTTCAATTCCCAGCCAGTACACTTCATGTGCAGCTGCTACCCATCTGTCATCAGAGGCTTGCATGTCGCCATGATGCTGAACAGGTTTCAGCTGAGTTTTCCGACTAGGAAGAAAGGCATCTACTTCCAAAAATCAACTGATGAAAACTCATGGATCACGATGGTCAGGTCCACAACCGAGCACAGGGATGGCCTGGGACCAGGAAGCGTTCATTCCCTTGTGCACAGGGTCGCCATGAATTGGGGCTGACTTGATAGCAGCAAACAACAACAATACCATTTTTTTATTCTCAAAATGTGTAGTTATGTCTAATTATTGCTTTTTTTCCTCTTATACTAGTTTCTTCCATGGTTCCTAGTTTGGATCTCTGATCCATGCCCTTTGTTATTTCATGTCTCTTTTTATTATGATTGCCCTTTTCTTTTTAATCTCATTAAATGTTCAATTTCTCTTCCGTATATTTTTCTGCTGTCACTTCTGCTATTTACTGCAGTTGCTGTGAATTTAACTCTTACTTACATTTACATTGTATTGCGCTTTTATTCCTTACCCAGTTCACTTTTATTGTAGTAAATATATGTAACAAAACATTTGCCATTTCAGCATTCTTCACATGTACAATAGTATAATTCATTTTTTAATCCATTCTGTACATTCTTTATGGTTTTTGACTCCTGTTTCATAGACATCATGTCTTCTTGTGTTTTATGGAGTATGACGAGCAATATTCTAAAATGCTATTTTAGTTTCATAGGAGATCATTTTCATCGTTTTCAAGTTGATGTTTCCTTTTCTTATTCAGAAATATTTTCCCTTAGTCCTGTTTTTGTTTGTGTGTTTTCTTTTTCCCATCTTTGAATGAGGAGTGCCATGTTTAGACTCAGTATTTATCTTGCACGAGATATGGTGCCTGAGGTTGCTCTTATTCCTGTTTTGATTTTTTTTTTTTTTGCCATTTGAATGCTGGTTGAATTGCCATCTAAGATTTATAAATAGGTAGCTTGTGAGTGTACAAAGCTTCTAGCCCAGTTCTAGTATCTGCAGTTTTCATCCAGAATAGCTTTGCTACACTGAGAAAGAATCCCAAGCTCATCTTCCTTCTTCATTGTCTTACCCTCTTAAGATTGAGAAGATGTAGCATGTGAAAAACTGGAATCCTGACTTGGTACTGCCATTTTTTTTTTTTTTTTTTTTTTAAATCTCTGCTTTCATTTTCTAGGAAGCCATCTGACCCCCTCTACTCACCACTGTCTCCCTTCTGCTCCATCATTTTCTGGAAGTTACAGCTTTTCTTTGGATGTAGAACAGTAGCAGTGGGGTGTATACATCAGGATAGAAGACACAGGAGGACAGCTGCCATTTTTTCCAGTTGATTAGAACTTGTGTTTCTCATCTGGAGGATATGCAGTGTGTCTCCTTTCTGGCAGACACAGCAGAAATGGGTCATTCGTTGAATTTTTCAGCCGGGTTCCATTTTAGTGAGAAGCTGGGAAAGGCTACATCAGAAACTACTAGCCAGATGCAGTTTTAAACATGAACTTCTAAAAGACACTAGTGATCGAAACCACAGAAGTTTAGAGTTCTTAAAATTTTAAATAAGCTACCAGAAGTTGGTTGATTCTATACATTTGATTACAGATTTCAAGAGAATGTTCACCTTCCAAACAGAGATTGTATTTGACATAAACATTACATAATCTTTGGTTTGCTGATTTCTGTAGTAAGAATTAGATAGTCCCACTTACCCTAATGTAGTTATATTTTGCCTTTGATAATATGATCCATAGGACTCTGTAACAAAAACTAATAGGAAGAAATTATGCTTAGGAAGAAGGCAGAAACATTTGGAAATGAAACTGTCTCACATGGGTCACTTTAAAAATGAAGCTGAAAAGTCTCAAAAATTGAGTTTTCTGTAGTATCTTTCATTTGTGCTCTTTACTATTTCAAGAATGCTTTTATCATTTGATTGGGAATTACAAAACTTTTTTTCACAGTCCAAGCAAGTTATTATGAAGTAGCATTTATTTGTCAAGAGAGTAGGCATCTTTTGCTTATTGTAAAAAGAATACGTTCAGAAGTTGCAAGTCAAAATTGACTTTGGGCTAATGGTTCTTTCCTTCTCTGTTATTGTAGGAGGCTTGAATTTTTCAGAGTATTTAGCCTCTCCTGTAGGCTTCTGACCACAGCTAAATTAACTGTGTATTTACATTCTGACATTCTTGAACCAGAGACCAAAGACCTTGTATTTAACTTGTTTGTTAGTCCTGTCTTGTGCAGGCATGGGTGTGCCTGGCCTCTCTGGTAAGGAACATTTTTGTAAATTCAAGTTTCAGTTTTGGAAATAAGAATCGAAGAATAAAAGACAAACATACAGAACATTATGTGAGTTTTTTTTCCCCCCCAGATATATATAAGTGCTTAATCATACTCTTTGTATCTTTTTTTAAACATCTCATTCACTGCAGATTTCTTCTTTTGTTTTGTGACAGCTTATGCATGTGCAGTGTACTTACTAGATTTAGCTAAAAATGACTGTTGAGAGGAGCAGAATATAGTCAGTAGAAAAACAAGCCTTCTAGTAATAGAATTTATGATTAATACATAGATGATAAACTATTAAGAGAGGATAAAAGAATGAAGTGTTTACCTTTTTTTTTTTTTAAAGATATAAATTACTCTCTCTCTTTGAACCTTAATTTTCCTTTTGATTTAACAACAGGTAGAAATGATTTTTCTGACTCCCTAAAAACTGCCTTTGTATTCATCTTTCTTCCTTGGCGTTAATTAAAAATATTTTTTCTGTTAAAGGCCAACTGTGATTTGAGACGGCAGATTGATGAACAGCAAAAGATGCTAGAGAAATACAAGGAACGATTAAATAGATGTGTAACCATGAGCAAGAAACTCCTTATAGAAAAGGTTAGTAATTAATAGTGATCTGAATTCTCTATTCCAAGATGCTTACTGTGTATCATTGTTTTGTCTCCTTACTCCTTACTTGAGATGAAAACATTTAAAAAGTGGGTGTTCTAGGAAAAAACTCTTCATGATTTGACAATTAGAATTTTTCTTTGTATGAACATTGGACCAAGCAGCCAGAGTGATACCTTGGGACACGCTTTCTGGTTGTGCGTTGCTTTAAGTGTGATGTTGATTGAACAGGGACAGCTTACCCTAGCTGAGCTTATTTGGGATGTTGCTCTCCTAAATTCTTACATTCATCTGATCAGTTGAAGTGAGTATCCTTTTACTATTACAGACTTTTAGCAGCAGTTATGTTTCTGTTTCAGAGATGGTATTAGGAATAACTTGTTTATTTAATAATGTGTTAAGTGCTTCATGCTTTAAAAAAAATAAGGTTGTTGTATACCTGCATATGATTACTTTAATTGGCTGATGTCCCTTTTTTTAGTAATTGATTAATTGCAGCTTGCCTTTAATAGTCATTATTATTTCTTAAAATTTTTATTCTTAAATTTTTTTATTCTTCATTCTGTTTCTTAAAAGTTTTAAGATGGCAATACGTCTTAATGAAATTATTACAAGATTATAAACTGGAGGTTTGAGGCACACTTGGGGGGGGTTCCTTTTGCTGAAATCTTTATAGTGTTATTAAAAAGATGAAATACTCATAAAAGTGAAGTGGATCATTTTATTGAGCTTGAGGATACTGAAGAGGACGTTGCTTCATCCTTTGACTCAATTTTTATTAGATGGGAAATCCCCTTTTTCTCATTTTTTTTTATGAATGAGAAATAATAAGGCATGAGTTGATACAGAGAATTTATTTAGAGCTTTAGGATTTATTTCCTGAAACCCTTTTAGGGTACTTCCTGAAGTCAGTGTACACTCAGCCAGTTGTACTAATGCTGAATAGTATAGTACAACAAATAAATAATGCTGTCTCTGAGTTCTCATAGGAAAATAATTTTCTAGTTGTTAGAAATAAAATTTAGACTTGTTTCCAAAAGAATTGAAATAAATTTTAGTACTTATCAACTTTCTAAATAGGGAATACTTATTGAATATCTGCTGTACCATGTTGGAATATAAAGAAACATAAGTGAATATTCAACTACAAATTAGGAAGAAATATGTACAACATTATCTCACAAAGGACTTGTATTCATAAATCAGAAGGAACTATAACTTAATAAAATGACAAATAACGCATTAGAAATAATCAAAAGACTTCAGCAGACACTTAACACTTAAGTATATACAAAAAAATACAAAATGACAACATATGAAAAAAAAGACATTCAGCATTTTGGGCATCAGGGATATAAGCTAAAACCACAATGAGATATCCTTACATACCCAGTAGAATGACTGAAATTAAAAAGACTGACAGTGGAGCAGCCAGATTTCTCATACTTTTGGGAGTGTAAAATGGTGCATCCACTTTGCAAAACTATTGGGTGGTTTCCTATTAAGGTAAATGCACACCTGCCCTGTGACCCAGCAGTTCTACTACTGGCATTTACCCAAGAGGAATGGAAGCGTATGTCCGCAAAAAGACTTGTATAAGAATATTCATAGTACTTTTATTCACCGTAGGCAAAAATCAGAAATAGTCTATCACCAGTTGAACATATACACAAAAGGTGATATGTTCGTGCAGTGAGAAGGAATGGACTCCTCATACACACAACAACATGGATGAATCTAAAAAGCATTACTTTGAGCAAAAGAAACATGACACACCTCTTACCCTCAAAGGACAGCCTAGATAGGGGAAATAAGACACATTCACAAACACAAGGAAACCTATTCAAGTGACTAGTGCACATACTTAGAAATTCACTAAAGGAAATCAAGGGTAGGGGATTTATTGGACAGCTGCAAGGAAGAGGGAAAATGTGTTTTAGGGAAGGACAACTCAGTTAAAAATACTACACAGGACAGATAAAGTAGATACATCCCACGATGTTATCTCTCACAGTACTTCGTTCATTTCCTTCAAGTTTCTTATTACAATTTGTACTTCTGTTTATGAATTTAATATATTCAGTGGTTATATCTCCCTCTAGACTGTAAGCACCAATTTTTGTCCGTGTTCTATACCCAGCACTCTGTACAGACCCTGACACATACTTAGTATATGTTGAATGAATGATGTGCTCAAGAATCAGGAGTCTATAAGGCATTTTGGAATAAGAATTCTGTGGGGAGGTGGACATGATCTTCTAGCTTGTGGAGGACTTTTTCATGTCAGGAACTGGAGATTGGCAGCAAATAGCCATGGAAGGTTTGGCGCATTCAACTGGAAGGGTGCACAGTGGTGTTTTGAGAAGGTGAATTGGCAGCAGGTCTCTAGAATATAGTGGATGGAGAAGAAATAGAATTTAGAGAAGCATCTTAAGCATCAACATGTGGTCTAAATATGAGATCCAAAATATGAGATGCTAGTCTGAGCTAAAGGGTAGACAGATGGGAGAAACTTTATAAAGGAAGAAACTGTGGATCTTTGGTTACCCTGTTTGTCATGTTGCTCTGCTTGAATAGGGAAGGTGTGTCATCTAAGGAGTCATTACTGACTGTTCTCAGATATTGTGTTATTTTTCAGCAGTATTTTTCCTGATACTCTTAAAATTTTGAGTTTCTAAAATATCTTTCTCCATGCTAATTGGTGTTGAATTTCTTTTTTTCCCCTATTTTTTGTCGTTTTCTCCTAAGTCAAAACAAGAGAAGATGGCATGTAGAGATAAGAGTATGCAAGACCGTTTGAGATTGGGTCACTTTACCACTGTCCGACATGGAGCCTCATTTACTGAACAATGGACAGATGGTTATGCTTTTCAGAACCTTATCAAGTAAGTGAATTTTCATGATTAAATGGAGAATTGAAAAGTTGATGGTCTGGATTTTTTTTTTTTTCCTTATAATCATAGTCATTAATAATCCTAGTAGCAGTAGTCATCTTTTCATTCAGTGTTAGTTGCTACAGGTGTAAAGAAATGTAGGGAACAAGGTCAAGTCCTGAAAAAAATGACACAAGTAATCAGAGGAATAAAAAAACAGTTCTACATTAAAACTTAAAAGCATCAGAATTGTTGAAGCTAAGGAATAAAAATCTAGGGTTTGACTTGATGCGTTTTTATTATGTAATGGGCTTTCATGAGGAGTCTGTTGAGCATTTATTCTGGACCCACAGAAAAAATGAAACAGGCAAGGACCTAAGAGTTAACTGAGTTATGTGTAAAACCATAGAAGACAGTTATAGGGCCTGTCCTGGAGGCTCTTGAAGGAGAGAGTCTAGTTATCAGAGACAGTAACTTCCTTGGAGACAGACCAGCCCCACCATCTGTGTCTGCCTTCGAAGTGCAATCTTGAGCACTTCTCTTTTTCATAACTTTTGGTTTGAAACATTTTTTAGGTATTTACTCCAAGGAGGGGATTAACATTTAAAATCCTAAAATTCCAACTGTGTAAATAGCTACTCTTAGCTCAGGATTTAAAAAAAAAAAAAAATCTTCAGGTTGTAGTCCTTTTTGCTGTATCTTATTTATTTTAATTTGTTAGTTAGATAGTTTCCATCTTAGACTAGTGGGGGTAGTATCTTTTTATTATAGGCTCTCAAACTTTTTATTTTTCATTTTTTATAATTTTTGTTGTTGAGAATATATACAGCAGAACATACACTAATTCATCAATTTCTACACATTCAATTCAGTAACACTGATTACATTCTTCGAGTTGTGCAACCATTCTCACCCTCCTTTTCCAGATTGTTCTTCCCCGACTAATATAAACTCACTGCCCCCTAAGTTTCCTGTCTAATCTTTACAGTCGCTGTTGTCAGTTTGATCTCATATAGCTAGTTCTTAAAAGAGTGCAATGCTTGAGGCAGACATTCTTTACTAGTTGAACTAAACTGTTGTTTGGTTTTAAGAAGACTTCAGAGGATATTTTTGGTTTAAGGTTTAAAGATTATCTCAGAGCAGTAGTTTCAGAGGTTAATGCAGCCTCAGTGTCTCCAGAAAGTCTGGACTCCATGAGAATTTGAAATTCTGTTCTGCGTTTTCCCCTTTTAATCAGGCTTCTTCTATAGATTCTTTGCTCAAATGTTCAGTAATGATAGCCAGACACCATCCAGTTCTGGTCTCATGGCAAAGGAGGCAATTATTCCTGGAGGCAGTTAGCCACACATTCTATATTTTGCTCTCAAACTTTTGATCTGTGGATCACTGTGAGTTAGACGGTTCCATAGACTGCCTTTCCTACCTGATTTTCCTTGCCTAAATAACTTATTAAACATTAATGGGGGAGCATGAGTCTACTTTTGAACAGTAATGAAACATATAAATAAGTAACAAATTTATGCCTGAAAGAAAAGTACAGTATTGATGTTATTAAAAATATTTTGTCAGAACAGCCTCTGGATCACACATTAGTAGTCATTGTTTTAAATGTGAAACATTAGTCTCCAACTAGTTGAGATGTGTTTTTACCTCACAAATACGCATATTTTGGTGTGAGAAGGGGCTGTCGAGTCAAAAATTGAACACACTGGAAGAAAAACAAGGACTTTTGAGTTAGGCCAGGTGCGATAGGTTCAGAGTAGCATCCATCTGAGCTCTAAGTATAGAGCTCTAAGTATAGGTGGCTGATGATAGCAGAAGCATACCCGGGCAGTGTAAACAGCAGCTACACAGAGGCACGTTACTTTTTCCATAACACCCTGACCAAAATGTGCAGGGAGTGCATGCTGTCCATTTTCCAGATTTGTTAGAAGAAGACGTAGCTTATACCCCTGTTACTGTCCAAAGCCACCTAATTAATGTTCAGAAACTGAGTCCCAGATGTGGTAGGAACTGCTACAGCCTTTGCTGGTGGTGATTCCTTCCATGGCAGTCTTTAGCATTTGACTCAAAAAGATAAGATGGTTTGTATATAGATATAAAATGTAATCAGTATTAAGAAGGAATTAAACCTTTTGCTGATAGTTGCTGTATTTTATCTTTTTACTCTATAAGCAGCCTGATGCCTAGAAGATTCTGGAACACTTATATAGAGTACAAAATGATCACTTTACTGTAGAGCCATCAGATCAGAGAAACTGGACTCTGTAAATGAGATCCCTAACCAGGATTGTTCTTTCTAGGTAGATAGCATTTTTTTCATGGGTTTAAGTCATGTAAATGGGATAGGATATCCGTCTCTTCTCTTGGGAAGCTGTTTTTAGTTGATACTGTCTACAGGGATTTTACTTCCTAAAGTTTTGCTTTAATAAATTAATTCTCTGTCTCTTAATTTCAGTGCAGAAATTGAAATTCTTTAGTTTAAAAGGGTGTATCTAATATACTCACAAATGACAGTTTGGTGAGTGAGGTAGCTAAATACCAGGTGGCAGTACTAGATTTAATGGGAAGAGACAAATGTTAAGACATTTAAAAATTTAATCAGATACAGTCTCAACAGATACCCCTAAACGGTAGATTTACTTCTAATCGGAAGATCATATGAGATTTGTAAATTTTTTTTGCCAGATTAGTAATTTTTCCCTTCTAAATAAAATTTTCCTTTCCAAAGATAGTTGAACCTTTTAAAAAAAGTAGTTTATTTCATAGTTCTGAGAAAGTATTTATGTTAAATATTAGTGTTACTGAGTACACTATTTTTTTATATTCAATAACTCCCAAAACTTGATAGCAAGACAATAAAAATTCTTTGCTAAGATTTTTTGTTTATGTTGAAATAAACAACATTATTGTATTGGATTTGAACTGTATACAAAATCGAGGTCATTTAAGATGTAGATTATCAGAGGGGGTAAATTAAACTTTACAGCGTTGTAATGCTAGTCTAGATATTTACTTTGGTGTGTAAGGAATTACAGAATCTTATTTTAAAGCGATTTCTTGTGAACCATCTGGTTCTCAATCACATAATTCCAACTGAGACAACTCATTTTGTTTATTCTATAAATGTCAGCTCTCCCTTGGATAGTCCACACAGTTTCACAGATCCCAGTATGTACAGACATCTGAAATCCTCGGAGCCTTTTGCATTTCTAACCTGGGACGTTCGGTTTTACACATGCAGATCACAGCTAAAAATATTTGGGTTAAAATAATGTTTGAAAATATGTGCCTTTGTCTTTTAGTACCTCTCTTGCTATATATATAGTATGGTTGGAGTTTGGAATACAGTTTTGCTGTTGAAGGTGCCTAACTAAGGCTGATTGTCTTTTTTCTTTGGCAAGCAAAACTTTTTAAATAGGGCGATTTAGATTTGAGTGAAATAGATGTATCAGAGTATCATTACTGCTGTAAAAAATAGAAGAAATACTCCATGGGCGAGCACATGCTAAAATGAATGCAAAGCAAGAGCCATTTAAGGATCAGCTCTGTGAAAGGTGCTGTCATATGTGCTAGAGGATCTGAAGGTTGTTAAGACATGATTCTTGTTCTAAGAGAAGTTTCAGTTTTTATATCGACGTAATGCGTATTTTCTACCCCCAAAATGAACCTAAATGAAGTACATCTGATGACTTTTATTCTTAAGTATAAGTACGTAAATAATTTCAAGACATCAGTAGTTGATGTGGGAATCCTGATAATATACACATTTGCATAGGACAGTTGAGTGTGTTCTATAGCTGTGTTAAAAATTTTTTGACCTTCCTCCTCTGTCCAACATCTTTTATATCTTTAGGCAACAGGAAAGGATAAATTCACAGAGGGAAGAGATCGAAAGACAACGGAAAATGTTAGCAAAGCGGAAACCTCCTGCCATGGGACAGGCCCCTCCAGCAACCAATGAGCAGAAACAACGGAAAAGCAAGACCAATGGAGCTGAAAATGAAACGTATGTTCTTTATTGATGTGAACTCTGAGACACCGCACCCTCCCCCAAAATACAAATGTACTATTGAATGCCACTGGGAAAAAAAATTATAAATTCTGAAAGTTTCTAGAGTTTAAGCTTTTTTTTTTAGTTACATCAATGGATTTGCTCAACTCATAAAAGACAGTGAGGGTTCAATTAACTGGTTTTCTTAGTCCTGCTCTTTATTTAAGGAGTTTGAAATGAGAGAGAGAAGTAATGTCACTTAACTTGACGTTAGAATCTTTGGCCACTCTTACAACGAATGTTGTGTCATTGTTGTATTCAAACAATATTATTGCTTATGTGTGGCTCTAGGTTATGGTACATTGTATCGTCTTATGGGGATTCCCTGGCTACTATTTCAGACTGAAGAATGCAGAACACTAATGCATACTGGGGAAGGTTATGCTGCTTACTGGTCTCAAGAGCACTTAATTAGCAGTCACAAACTGTTAGCCAAGAAAGAATACCTATTATTTTAGGAGAAGAACATTTTCCCAATAAGCCAGTAAATTTTAACATCACCAGAGTTTTTTCCTGTTTTGGGAGGCCTTAGGAAAACACCAGTATCCTAACTTGCAATGCAGTCATCTTTTTTCATTGCCAGTCAGCAGTTAAACTACAAAGTTATGTACAAGAGGGGTAGAAAATCCCAGGCACAGATACCTTCCTTCTCCTCTCTCACCCCATATCAGATTTGCCTAATTGATCATTGTACTCTTGCTTACTCGGAAGATCTTTCTCCAGGACAGGGGTCGGCAGACTCTCTCTGTAAAAGACCAGATAGTAAATACTTTAGGCTTCGTGGGCCATACAGTCTCTCTTGTAACTAATCAACTCTGTTGTAGCCTGAAAGCAGCCATAGATAGTATGTAAATGGTTGGATGTGGCCATGTTCCAATAAAATTTTATTTACAAAAACAAGCTCTAGGCCAGATGACCCATAGGCTATAGTTTGCTAACTAGACAGGAACTACCAAACAGATTGGCATGGTAAATTGAACCTATGTATCACTTGTTATTGTTAGCTGCTGTCTAGTCAGCCCCCAACTCATGGTGACCCCATGCACAATTGAACAAAACGCTGCCCAGTCCTGCAGTATCCTTATGATCGGTGGTGGATTGGACCATTTTGATCCACAGGGTTTTTTCATTGGCTGATTTTCAGAAGTAGATCGTCAGGCCTTTGTAGTCCACCTTAGCCTGGAAGCTCCAATGAAACCTGTCCAACGTCATAACAACACACAACCCACCACTAACAGACGGATAGTGGCTGCACATGAGATGTGTTAGTCAGGAATTGAACCCACATCTTCTTCATGGAAGGCGAGAATTCTATCACTGAACAGCTACTGCTTCCACATATATATATATATATATGTATATATTACTTACCTGTTTAAAATATTTCTGATGCATACCCCAAAGGCATTAAGGTTATCAAGAGACTTTCAAATTAAAAATGAAAAAAGGATCAATAGATAATAGTGTCAGCAATCCCTGAAGAAGTAATGGTAGCCATGAAGTTGGCTTCTGAATTGGATATTTGAAATTTAAAATATATTTTTTCATAGAAACAGTCATTGGTATTGTCACCAATTTACAGTGGCTACAGTGATTTTTCCAGGGAAAAGTTTTCTAAAGCTATCTTTGTGGGATTTTTAATTGAAAGTAAGTTCCAGGTCTAAAGATAGCCACAAATAGAAGGTGTGATGTTGTATAATTTATTGACAAATATGTCTTTGTGTTTTCATATTGGTTCACAAAAACATACTAACCCATAATCCACCTGAAGTATAATAATACTTGTATTACACCATTGTTAAAAGTCTATGACAGCCCAGAAATACACTTTCCTTCACTCAAGTAAGAGAGGTGGCCTAATACTACCTCCACCCCATACGTACCTGATATGTTTTGGGAGCATTTTCCCTATGTTTGAAAGATTCTTCAGGCAAATGTTGTGCACATTAATCTCATTTTCTTCTTTCGTGACCCCTATATTTATTTTATGAAGGGACTCTCCCTTAGTATTACTTGAAAATTATTAAATGTTGGTGCATAAAACCATTGGCTTAGGAGTGATAAAGAGGACCTAGGTTGTTTACTTGCCACAGAACAATAATTAGAATTCAGTCTAGGCCAATAGGGTATCAGTAAGCAGTGGCCATCTGGGGTCCTGTATAAAATCCAAGCTGGAAGGCCTTCCATCCAGTTTTTAATTAGAGTATCTGTGACTTGGCTCACGCCTTTGGCCAAACCCAAACCCAGAGACCTCTGGAGTCTTGGAGTGAGTTCCATTATTCTTTTTGGGTTTTGAACTTGTTTCAGGCAAAGAGACTGCTTAGCTATGATTTTTTTTTTCATTTTTCTCATTTTCACTGGTATGAAATGGAGAATGGATATAAGTAATTCTGCAACTGTGAAGAGATAGGTGTAACAGCTGTAGTGGGTATATTTCTTTGAGTCAGACCTCAAAGGCTTTCCTGGTTGATAGGATAGGGATTTTTTATTTCCTCCTGCAATTTAAACTATATCTAAACAGTGAGATGTAAAACTTTGAAGTATATGTGTCTGCTTCTAGAATGTGAAGAGGGTATTTGATAGAAGAGTAAGGTATCACTTCTTACGTGCTCATTCTTGAGATACAGAAGTGCCCCCTTATCCGCGACTTCACTTTCCTTTCAGGAAACTGAGGTCAACCACAGTTAGAAATAAACAATTCTTAAGTTTTAAATTGCACGCCGTTCAGAGTAGCCTGATGAAATCTCACAGCATCCCACCTGGGACGTGAATCATCCCTTTTTCCAGCTTATAGTTACTAATCTCTTACTGTGTCTAATTTATAAATTAAGCTTTATCATAGGTATGTATGCATAGGAAAAAAACGTAACATATATAGGGTTCGGTAGTATCCGAGGTTTCAGGCATACACTGGAAGTCTTGGAACGTATCTCCTGTGGATAAGCGGGGGGGACTACTGTATAAGAATGACATTGGGTAGGTGGGACATGAAGCAAGTGATTACTCTTTAGGTCATCCTTTTGAGAATTCCATCTAAAAAGCATTTTACAATTTATAGATTTTTTTTCTGCATTCTCATTTCAGTCACAATAGCTTTGTTAGATCAGTATTATTACTTGCTGCATTTTAAGGAAACTGAGAGTAAGAGGTTACCAAGTTGCTTGCCCAAGATCACGTGGCTAGTGGCCAAGTTGTGCCTTCAACCCTAGTCCTCAGACTCCAAATCCTGACTCTTTTCACTGTGTTGTTTGTTGTCTTTCTTATTATGGTACCAAGGTCTAAGAGTTATCAAGAGTAATAAAATTAATTGGCTTATTGTTTTGCCCTTTAAAATTTTTTTAGACATAGTTTTTCTGGTTTTGAACCCTAAGGGTTCTCATCTGAATAATGTAATGTATGGAACAAAGTCCGTTTCATAAGTAATGCAAAAATATGACTTAATTATTTTTCTCATTTTTTACAAATTAGGCTTCTGGCTTTGAAGACCTTCTTTTATATCACATCTGATAAATCACAAAAGTTTTTCCTTGTCAGAGGGACTGCAAGATAACATATCTTTTAGTCATTCTAAAGGACTGAATATACCTTATAGCATGCTTTGGCATTTCTCTTTAGCTAGGCACACCATGATTTCAGATAATTTACTGAAATGTTGACTGTTATTTTCCAGGTTAACGTTAGCAGAATATCATGAACAAGAAGAAATCTTCAAACTCAGATTAGGTCATCTTAAAAAGGTAAGTAAAATAAGTAAACTCTGTCTGGAGAAATGCAGTTTTTAGTTTATGTTTGGTTTTTAAGCTATTTGGTCATTTGGACAAATAGTTCACAAAGCTGCAGAAATCTTGAGTAGTTACGCTCACTGTCACATCTTATATTGTAATGGAATTCATGTCTTTCGATTCTAGAGTCGACTCCACTCACTCAGTGAGAGTACTTTTTCCCTAAAGCTAGCTGTACATCATAAGGCTTCACAAAGGGTTATCCTTACAGTAAAAATTAAATATACAACAAGAACAGATGGGTCTGCCTGAAATTGATGTCAAAATTCTTGTGATATTTTTGAATCACATAGCGGCTCTTATGTCTTGGCTTAAGTAGCTAAGAAGAAAAGTTTTTATTCCAACCATATCCTAACACAAAGGTATCTACATAGAATTTGTTACTGATGAGTCTCACTGAGGGGTCTTAAAGGTAGGCAGTGCCTCACTTAAATTCAGCAACCCGCACATTTTTGTTGGATGCTGGTTGTGATGATGGTGGTCAGTGAGCACTTTTTTTTCCAGTTGCCATCGATGGCAACCGTTACACAGCGCCAGTGACTCCCAGTGAGCACTTAATAAGCTGCTAGTGGTGTTTTTTTGTTTTTTGTTTTTATTTCACATACTAGTTTTCATACCTTTTTCCTGACTAGGTTATCAGATCTTGTTAAATCAGTGGAACTTAAGGTACTAATTATAATTTATTCTTAAGAAGAGAAAACCAGACAGAGAACTTGATATTTGTGAAAATTGATTTCATTTTTGTCTGTGTTTAATTTTTTTTAATTTTTATTTTTTTATTGTACTTTAGGTGAAGGTTTACAGAACAAATAGTTTCTCATTAAGCAGTACACATATTGTTTTATGACATTTATGACATTGATTAACAACCCCACAACATGTCAACCCTCACCCTTCTCAACCTTTTTTTTTTTTGGTGAAAATATACATAGCCAAAGATACACCATTTCAAAAATTTCTACATGCGCAATTCAGTGACATCAGTTGTGCTGCTGTTCTCACTGTAGATGAAGGTTTACAGAACAAAATAGTTTCTCATTAAACAGTTAGTACACATGTTGCCCTATGACTATGGTTAACAACCCCACTACATGTCAACACTGGTCTGTGTTTAATTTGGTTTATTATTTTGTTTGTGTACGTATATATATATCCACAAAACATTTCTGAAAACTCAACAGTGGTTACATCTGCTAAGTGGGATGGAAAGGAAGGAGTAGAGTGTGGCAAAGGACTTTTACTTTTCCTACTCTACTTCTCTGTATGGGTTGAATTTTATTTTATTTACTATTTGTAAGGAGCCCTGGTGGCTCTCTTGTTAAGCACTTGGCTGCTAACCTAAAGATTGGTCGTTGGAACCCACCAGCTGCTCTGCTGGAGAAAGATGTGACAGTTTGCTTCCCTAAAGATTTATAGCCTTGGAAACCCTGTGGGGCAGTTCTATGCGGATGGCAATGGGTTTTTTGTTTGTTTATTTTTTTGGTGCTATGAACTTTTCTTTTATAATTAAAATTCTAGTTCTTAAGAATTTTTTTTTCAATGCAAAACATCTTCCTTTAGCTTTTCACAGATGAAATGTCCGCTGTTGTTTTCTAATTGAGAGTATGGGAAGGTAAAGTTCCCTGTGTCCTGAGCTGTCCCTCTCTTTTCTTTTCTTTAGGAGGAAGCAGAGATCCAGGCTGAGCTAGAAAGGCTAGAAAGGGTTAGAAATCTACATATCAGGGAACTAAAAAGGATACATAATGAAGATAATTCACAGTAAGTACCTGGGGTGGGGGGATGTTGAGTTGGAGATTGCTAAATTTTTCTGACATGAATTGAATGGTCTAGAATGATATTTTTTATTCAATATAAATTTGTAAGTGATTCCACAGTGTATTTAGCTGTATCTAGTGTAATAAAGATTTGTGAACAAAGTTAGGATTTGCATCAGTTTAAGTGTACATAAATATAATGAATTTCTATATTAAATATGTATACATACACTATAGCATTTTTATACAAGCATGCTAAAACATAGCTTTGCAGTGTAAGTGGCTTAGATACACTGTGTATTCAGATATACCTCCAGAGCCTAGATAAAGCGAATCGTGGGTAGCAGTGTGCTGGTTTAAAAAGAAGAGTGAATTGAGAGGATACCTGGTTTCTGGATGACCTTTAAAGGTCATTTGGGTGTTGAGATTTTAAGCAAGACTCTCTTAAATTCAGCACATTAGTTGGAGGTAAATGCCACTCCTTGTTGTTAAATTATTTAAGGTATTGAAACTGGGAAGAGGAGGTTGCAAGTAGGAAATGGCTTCTGTGAGCAATCTGTTCTTTCCCACATTTTTCTGACTGAAGCATGATTTTTTGACCTAGCTACAGCTTGTGCATTTTTGCTTGGCCAGTGTAAGCCATGGACTTTCCTGTAAAGTAGCAGGCATCAGCAGTTACCATTTACTGAGCACTCTGTGTGCCAGGCATGGTGCTAAGTGCACGTGTGCTCTCTCATTTAATCCTCACTGTAACCCCACTGAGGTAGGTCGTCTTCAGTACATAGATCTGGAAACAGGCTTGGAGAAATTAAATAAACTTGGCCAGGGACCCATCACTCCTATGACCAAACAAAGAGTCAAACTTGGATCTGCCTGACTGCAAAGCTGACCACCTTGCAGTTCTGTCCTCTTTCCCCACATGCATGCCACTTTCTTAAAATCAAGATAATCTCAGAATTAATAATGTGCTACCATATGTATAAGACCAAAAGGTCAATATAATTACTCTAAAACAAAGATGAGAAGACAAGGGGGCCAGGGAAACTAGAGTACAGGACACGAAACAAACCAGTATGCAATTAATGAGAATGTGGACACATTGTGAAAATCACTGAACAACTTGTGTAGAAGTTGTCAAATGGGAATCTTATTTGCTGTGTGAACTTTCACCGAAAACACAATATTATTTTTAAAAAAACAAGAAAAAAGAATTAATAGTGGGCTGTTTAAGGTCAGAAGCTAGGTAGAAATATTTTTTAACTTATTTTTGTCAGAATCTCTAATTTCTTTGTCAGTTTGTTAGAAAACGACACAAGGTGGAATCCTATTTGGGGAAAACAGTTCTATCATAGACTCTGTCTTAAAGAGAGAAAGATGAATGAACGTAGAACGTGTGACTCACTTTATAACCAAATCCCTTTTTAAGACAGTGTAAATGTCTTGGAATTTTACTGGATATAGTTTTGGAATGGTGGGAGCATGTGGCTCTTGAATGGCTTGAAAGAGCCCAATAGCACAGTTTGAAAATCCCTGCTCTAGTCTAGTTTACCCCCTCACTATAGCAGGGTGGAAAGGGAAGGAGGTCAGGAAGGTCACAGGGCTAGTTTGTGGCTCCGCTGAGACTAGCACCTGTGTATAGTGGCGCCACAGCTAATGCTGTTTACTGTAATTATGCTGCCACTTTGAACTACAGAACTTGCTTTATGCTCAGAGTTAGCTATATTGATGTTGGTTATCAAACCATTGGCTACAGTTCTATGTCATAATAATGTGTATAACATGTTAGATACTCTAGGGATTTTGTAAATCTGGGAGACTGTAGTCCTTGACCTCAGGACATGTATGTTGCCTGTTTCCACAGATTTAAAGATCATCCAACGCTAAATGACAGATATTTGTTGTTACATCTTTTGGGTAGAGGAGGTTTCAGTGAAGTCTACAAGGTAAGTATGAGGAGCTGGGTCATTGTGCAAAGGCTGAGGGGGTTAAATTATTGTTTATTACTAACTCAGAACATTTTAGAATGGTGATAACTGTGGGTTGATATCTAGTGGTTGAAATTTAAAAAGTTTAAGAATCTATATTGTTGGGACAGCTGCTCCCAATAAGCTTATGTGACTAAGCAAGATACAGTGTTTTACTGTATTTTCAGCTTTGAAAAATAAATAGATAAAAGCTGGGAAGGAAAAACAGTAGTTATTTCTGGGTGTTAGAATTATGGTCATTTTTATTGTGGTTTTGTACTTTCTGCCTCTTCCACATTTGCTAGAAGTGAGTATCCTTATTCTCATTAAAAAATATGTATGTATATGTATATATTTTTATGAAATAGAAGTTTCTGAGATAGCTCTGGTTTGAAAGACCTGCTTTTTGTTTTGAAAAAGTTCTCCTCTTCTAAATCAGAGCGTTTGCTAGCACTGGCATTCTGGCAGAGTGTCCTGGCTCAGAGTGCTTCCCATGGGCCAGCAGAGTACAGACTGCTATGCCTCCAGGTTGATTTTTACTCAATGAGAGATTCATCCAGTTTTAAGTATAGTTACAAATCCATAACACTTTTCACCAGTCACAGCCTCCTTAAACCTCTCAAATGTTTCTGACAGTGGGCTTTAAAATGCAGTATTGGTTTTTCAAGTGATGGTCTTCTCTGTGCCGCTGCGGTGACTTCCCTCTTAGGTGCGGTCTTCACTGTTATGATTTACATTTATGCCCATATAAATTCATATATGGGAGATTTTTTGAATAAAGTGATTAGTTCTCATTTCAGATAAAAACAGTAAGAACTAGTTCTGCTGTTTTCCTTTTTAAACTCATCAAAGTTGATTCTTGGTTCTTCCCAAATACCTGTGATTTCACCGCTCCATTTTTTCTAATGTATTTATTCAAACATTTTAACATTTCTGAAGTCTTAGATGCTTCTTAAAATGATGTATACATTTAATATAGTTATTCTTTTGCTATTCTCCACCTTCCAAAAGCCCTTAAATCAGTGAAAGGTCTTAAAATGCATGATGTCTTAGATTCGGAAATCTGGGGTGATAGTTGGGGAACCTGACATGTGTAATACCATTAGAGCTCTTATAATTAGATGATCCTTAATCTGGTTTTTGATGACTTGAAATGGTTCTGTACTTTAAATCCGTGATGGCACACATGCTTGCAGGTGAACTTCAGGCTCTATAAGAAAAACAGAGCTCAAAAAGCTTCCAGTTCTGTGAAAAAGATATTGTATCTGAATTGAGTGGGTTTTGTACTTTAAAAATACTGGTTTAAATTTGGTATAAATCAAAGTTTATCTAATAGCCCTCTCTTACAGGCAGTACTTTCCTAGTAGTGGCTTACATTTGACAAGATCCATACAACAGTAATCACCACTATTTATGGGCATATCTTCTGTGCTGATGGCCTTCATCTGCTTGTACATTTCTGGAAACTGGCAGATGGATGGTAATGGTGTTAGAATTGGAGGAGTAAATTTTTAATCTGAACTTTAAAAACTAAGAGAAATTTCACCTAAAGCACAATAAAAATAAATTAGGAAATACTGGTAAATCATATATGCCAGTCACCATATGAGTGGTTCGTAAAAATATAAACTATGTTACCAAATACGTAAGAATAAAATTTGAACTTCAGAAAGATGGGGGAAAAAGACTAAGAAAAACTATTTGCATTCTAAAGGAATCCATCAGTAAAATTCTTTTACATGAGGAAATTGTCCTGTTATATTAAAATGTAACTGACTTTGTCAAATTGTGATTTCCACCCAGCTTCCTCAGAAACTCACCTGGTACCTTCTCTTTTCACCTCATGGTGTAGCTCTACCTAGCTGACGCTGGTCTTGCCAGGAGTGGTGGTCTTTGGGGAAAGCTTGGCCCTTTCTCTGGGCAGTATTGGAGAAGTAACTTAGTGTGACTAACTTCCAGCATTCCTGCGATCAAAAACCACTTTTCATTTACATAGGTTGACGGGTGGGACTAAAGGCAGGGCTGCTTTTTGGGTTTCTTTCTTTTTTTGTTTTAATAAATACACTATAGCAAATTACAGGGTTGTTTTCTAAACAGTCATGCCAAAGAGGTAGATCCTGAGAGGTTATTTCTTCAAGGAGTAATATATGGAGCCTGGCAGGCAGTTTGTGTTCCCAGCATTCCAAAAGTGGCAGGACTTAATGTTGACACCTGGAAAGTCCTGTGTCAGCTAAGGGATGAGAGAGAGCCCTAAGGGAAGATGGCTCCAAGTGAGGGTAGATGATGTCCAGAAAGAGAATTGTTTAGAATTGACTGTTAAGACATGGGCTGTCTTTCTGTTTGTGGTGTATACTTGTTTTTATTTTCTAAACCCCTTGGTGCCAGTGCGTCTGGAGACTTCTAAATTATCTGATCATAAGTTTCAAGAAGATGGTTGCAAAACCGAAATAAGTATGTGATGTGTTGTCGTCTGCTGCTGTTTTTATTTAATAATGTATTTTAGACTTTGATTATGTGGATCTGTTAAATAGAAGCTTCAAGTCAGTTGCCTGTGATTCTTGTTAGTGTTTATCCAGAATTTAATTTATTTCTTTTCTTTGTAGGCATTTGATCTAACAGAGCAAAGATACGTAGCTGTGAAAATTCACCAGTTAAATAAAAACTGGAGAGATGAGAAAAAGGAGAATTACCACAAGTAAGTGATACTAGAGTGTCTGCTTTTTCAAAATTTAATAACAATAGCTGTAGTTTGAGCGCTGTGCTAAGAGCTTTACATGTATTTTTGTTATTGTTGTCATTTCATTGAATCTTCGTAACAACCCTAGGGTGAAAGAGTATATTCTCCATCTTACTGATGAAGAAACTGATATGTAGAGAATTTGAGTAACATTTTAGAAGTGACTGAACTGACATTTAAATCCCCTTCCATTGTGTCCCAGAATATACAAAAAACAAGTAAAGCTTCAGAAATCATTGTTGCTGAGAGTGTCCTTTGGTGGTGTAGGGAGCCTGGGGAGCTGTGGGTGGGGCTCTTTCTGCTTCTTCAGTCATTTCATTGTCGAAGGAGAGACTGGGGGTACCTGGTGTGCCTCAGTGGCACTCATTTGGCTGGTTCAGTGCCTCTCCTCCCCAGTCACAGCTTGCCTGTCTCAAAGTTCTGTCTTCAGGGTCCCCCTCTTGGGTGGTGGGTGAGGAGGGCGATTGCTTTAAAATGAATAGTCATTACATGTGCAGCTGTGAATTTCTTTGTTCCACTAATGTCAGGTTTTGCTTGTTTCCCCCTGAGCTTCAGAACATTGAAGTTCGTGGCTCATTACTTTGGAGACCATGTAGATTTAATTTGCTCTTAGATTCCCCACTGGGCTTAGTTTTGTTTTCTTTTTGTAGGTACAAGTATTGAATTAGATATGTCCTACCTCTGAAAGAAGGCAAACCTCTTTCGATAGAAACAATCTGTCTCCTTTCTATAAATGCAATTTTTGATTTTTTATTATAAATAGAACATTAGAGGGGGAAAAAAAGTAGCGGACTTTGAAGTAGCCTTTTGGTTGATGTTTAAATCCCAAGGGGTAAAATAAAGCATTTCTGCATCAGCAGCCAGTCTTTGAGGCATGGACCAAGGCAACTCTTTGCTTTATACCCATTGTTTATCAGGGACCTAGGAACTCTTCCTGTTTCATACAGATTGGCTGTGGCGCTAGACACTGGAGAGAAGGTTCTTGTGGCATTAAGAGAAATAGGGCTTAAGGAGAGGTAGGAAAAGGGATGGTGTGGTTTGCGCGTGGCACCCTGCGTGTATACCTTATGTGACAGGCAGGTGCAGTGCAGATGCTCCCGAGGAGCAGTTACATTATTTTAAGTACATTCCAGTCACTTGACATGCAGGGATGATTGGCATGCAGCCACGAATGCCAAGAGTACTTCAGAGAAGAAAGCCACATGTTGTTCTGACCAGTTATATATGAGAAATGTCCCTATTCCATTGAGACTCTAGGAGTGCCTAAGAGTGTTGGAAGGGTACAGGCTTCTCCTTAAAAATGCCCTCTGGCCAGTTAGCCTTGGAACCTGCTCAGTATCCTGTATGTACATTGACCACTGTAAGCCAGTCGACTCTGCTAGGGACCAACCATGGTCAGCCTTGTGAGTACTATTCCTGTGCTGGGATTCATGCATACCTTGTGTAGTCTCCATGTCCAGCTTTTAGGTTGACCCCAAAAAGAACTCTAGTGTTGAATACTGCAGCACCTGCAGGTGGGCATTCTGCTTACCTTAGTCTTTGGAAGCCAGGGCCCTGTATCTCCTTGGCACAGTTGGTAAGCAGCTTGAGTCCTGGTGGTCTGGTTACTGGTAGTGGTGAACTGGCAAAATGTCATTAACTGTTTTGAATTTGAAAAGGAGGCTAACATCAGGCACCTAACAGATTTTAGAGCATGCTTTAAAAATGCAGTATTACATTAAAAAGTAGTACAATTCAGTGTTGTGGTAACATAAAATATGAAAATATTACTATTACTGATCCTGCGTAGTAAGGTCTTTTTAATTGCTTTTCATTTGTGGGGATGACGTCCCATCTGGGATCAAGATATTTGGGTGAAAAAGAAGGAAAATCTTGAAGGAAATAAAAGGGTATTGTTTTGTTTGAGCTCTGTTTTTTCCCCCCTTTTCCTTCTCCTTCCCCACATACAAAAACTACACTGATTATTTTACTTTTGGATTATGAAAGTATTAATAAATAGTACTAGGTATCTTTAACCCCCAAAAGTAACAGAAACTGCAGTAGGAAAAATTTCATATGAAGCTATCAACAGGAATAATTGCATCTGAATTAGTTAGCATACTCTTACTAGATACTCTTTTTTAATTTTCTAAGATAAAAACAAGCATTTTGAAAATCTAAATATGTATTTGTCTGTAAGAAAGTAAAAGACAATCACTTTAGTAGACAAGTTTCTTCTAGTTTCTTACTAGAATCTATGTGTTTATGGCACGTTAATCTCTTGAGTGCGAAATTCAAAGTTGAACATGTGGGGGCTATGGCACAGCCCCTGCCTAGGTGGAGTACGAGAAGTGATCAGAGAGCTTGACACTGAGGGAGCACTTTCAGTGATGCACAGCAAATTCCCTCAGGTGGTTAGGACTTTGAATGACACTTCCTTTGATTTCTTAATTTTTGCTTCCGTTAGTTTCCTCTATTTTCTGTACCTTGTCTGAGAAAGTGGTCTCCACTTTGAAGTGTACAAAATGAAGACGTTAAAGCAGAGTTGCTGTTGAGGTGATTCTGACTTATGGAAACCCCGTGCGTGTCAGAGCAGAACTGTTCTCCATAGGGTTTCCCATGGCTGTTTCTTGGAAGTAGATCACCAGACCTTTCTTCCTAGGTGCCTCTGGGTGGACTCAAATCGCCAGCCTTTCGGTTACAGCTGAATGCTTAACCGTTTGCATCACTAGTCTGTAGGTTTCTAAACTTTTTTTTTTAAACAGCACCACCTTTATTTGGCCAAACGTAATATTACATGGAATTCTGATATATTAAAAAAAGACAGGTGTGGAGCCGCTTTGGTAGAGTGGGTGGTTGGGCCAAAACCAAATGATCGAACCATTTGCTCAGTGTCTCCACAGAGGCTCTATGAGCTCCAGAGGCATCCATCTGCAGGGAACACACTTTAAAACTTGTGATGTGTTGTGTAGCTTCCTCACTGTGGCGATGAAACTGAAGCCCAGAGGCGTGGAGCCACAGAGCCAGGACTGGAAGTCAGGTTGCTTGGTCCCCAGTATAGTGTGGCTTCTAACGCTGCTGTGCCTCGGTGCTGGGAAAGCTTTTCCGAAAGACATAAAGATGATGAGATGAAGCACCAGAAGAAGCAAAAACTGCTGAAAGTGATAGCTTGAAAACTAAGCCTCATCAAACAATGTTTCACCCAGGGAAAAGTGTGTTTAATTAGGTTTAACTTCCTATTCCTCTCTTCTCCTGCCCCTATTTTTTTCCCTCGGTTTTTCTTTAGTTGAGTCCTTTCTCTGTACTTTCGACATTCAGAAAATACTGCTTTTTTAAATCTTATGCTACCATAGTGTGGAAGGTTTCTGTTTTCTCACTCCTGCCTTATAATAAAATGCCCCAGACTGAATAGTCCTAGATTACTTCAAACAGAATAGTTTCCTGTTGCTCTCTTTATAAATAAGGACTGAACACTTTCAACATTATTGATAATTACATGTATAAACATGTTATATTTTTAAATTCAGTTTATGAATATGTCAAATTATATAATGAATTTTTGTTTCTGATCTTATTAAATGATATTAAATAGGAAAAGGACTTTAAAAAACGGTACAAGTACATTAATATTAAATTCTCCATCCTAAGAAAACTGGAGTTTCTATAGTTTCAAATAGTCTATCAATTTCACATTTTCTTGGAACAAATTAAAGCTAATAGCACCTTAAATCCTTTTTGCAAGGAGGTGGGATTTAAAGAGAAGCAGTTACAGAGCTCTCCTAATTGACTTAAATGACATATAGCAGGTAATTCTGTTACTCAAGGAGTTTGCATGCTACAATTGATCCCCTTGATGTGACTTCAGTGTATAAACATTTATAAATATGAAGCTTTAGAGGAGAGGAAAAAGAACTTTGTCATTCTTAAATCTGTGATGTTTGGGTAAAAATATAAAAGAGGTGAGGTCATAAAATGGTCTTGAAAGGGGTAAAAGGTTGGCATCCAATCAATATTTGAGCACCTACTATTTTTTCAACGACTTTGTAGGTACCAGCAGAGAACATAGATGTGCAAAAAGAAAAATCAGATGAGGGGACCAGGTGGACCTGAATAGAGCAAGCGAGTAGAAACCATGAAGAAATGAGGGAATATTTAGGGGTATCCTTGAAGAGTTTAAAAGGCAGGCCAAGATACCTTCTTGTTAATTTTCTATTTTATTTACAGGCATGCGTGTAGGGAATACCGGATTCACAAAGAACTGGATCATCCCAGAATAGTTAAGCTGTATGATTACTTTTCACTGGACACTGACTCGTAAGTGCTATGCCATTTTAGCTTAGCAGTTAATATTATTTTCTTGCGGTGTATTGACTGTTCATGGAATAGAGCTGAAGTCTGGGTCAGGAAATACCCTCTGAGAGAACCAGTTATGTTAATACATGGACAAATGACCATATGTGAATTCAGAATTGGGCCAGCAGGGCATCTCTTGGCCAAGGGACATATGTGTTGGCAAATGTTTAACAACCGGTTTGGTGGTATAGAAAGGGGCTAATTTGTACTTCTACCAGTTTTTGTGGTATAAGTATTCCCACCATAGCCAATTTTGAGTTACCAGTTTTTTTTAAAACAGCCATTGAGATATAAGTCACTTACCTTACAATTAACCCATTTAAAGTATACAATTAAATGATTTTTAGTATATTCACAGATAGCACAACCATCACATCATCACAGTCAATTTTAGAACATTTTTATCAACTCAAAAAAGAAAACTGGTACCCTTTAGCTATCATCTATCCTTTCAGCTCCCTACCCCCAGCCCTAAGCAATCATTACTCTGCTTTCTGTCTCTGTAGATTTCCCTGTTCTGGACTTTCATGTAAATGGAATTATATAGTATCTGGACTTTTGTGACTGGCTTCTTTCACTTAGCATAATATTTTCCAGGTTTATCTAACTTGCTGAATAGTATCGTATTTTATCCATTCGTCCTACCAACAGTTTAATAACCAGCTCACAAAATTCCTGAAAATGTTAACAGTTGGTGCTGTTGGGAGCTGGTACAGATTGGTGCCAGCACACCTCTGACATGTACCAGTGAGTGGGGACTGCTGGAGTCTCTCCCCACCCTGGAAACTGAGGATCGCAAACAGGTCTTATTTGAAGTACCAGCAGCGTGATTCTACCCTAGCCTAGAATAGGGCGTGACTGTGGCACAAATGAAGTTGTAGCCCAAGGCTGCCTGTTAAAATGAGTTCATGGGCACAAAGGATATTAGATTTGGAAGTGATCCCAGAGTCCAGCCTTCTCATTTAATAGGTGGAGATTTGAGGACCAGAGAAGTTAAATGACTTGTCTAGGATATTTGATAATCTTGGGCATTGTTGCATTTTGTTACTTGGTATAGGGAAGTTCCAGAGCCTCTGGATTTACGAAGGAGTTTAGAAATATTACAGTATTTGGAAACGTTTTCTCTGTAGGAGTCTGTACTAAAAGTTAGGAAAATACACCTTAGGTCTAGCCTGCAGGTATTCCCCTTGACCTCCAGGGTGATTCTAGGAGTTTTGGCTCATTCCTGCTAGCAGCTGTCTCAGAGGTTGCTATACAGAGAACTGGCTTATATTGGAAATGACCCCAAAGGAGACCATAATTCGTAATTCCCTTTGGAAATATAAACTACCCGCTCTTCCATCCTCTCAGAAGTTTCCCCTTTCAGTAGGGTTGCCCTTGTACCAGGTATAGCCATGTATTTTTAGCATGGAGTGGGGTTCAGAAAGGTACCTAGTTAGAGGGCAGGATGGTAAAACTGGAGGCTTCCCAACTCCGAGGGTAGGTCTTCACAGGGTGGCTTCACTGTGTTGCTTTGAGTAAATTTCTTGAATACTAGATAGACCCTCCCCCTCTGAAATGTAAGTTCAAAAGCTATTTCAATGATAAATATAATGATTTGGGTTATCTGCCATTTTGAACTGTGTGCACATATCTTTCAACTAATGTGAAGAATTGAGTTGATTCTTTGCTATTCTTGAGTTGTTTACTTTGTTCTTTCTATTGTGTGTATGATGGATTTTCATCAAAAATAAGTCAAGCCATCACTTTAGAAAGTCTTGTGAGAGTTGTTGGGGTGTTAGAAGTGGGATTTTATTCCTAGCTTGCATTTGGGTTAAAGAACCAACCACTGAGCAGGAGAATCTGTGTTTCAGATTTCAGCATCTCAGATCTGATCATGCATAAACTTCAGACATTTGTTCTCAAATAGGGTCATAGCATGCCCTGGTGTGTTTCATAAGAAGCGTAAGCTATTGTTCAGTTTGGGGATTCCACAGGACTGCATGTATCCAGTGTGTTTTTGAAGCCTCAGAATGCCCAGAGGTACCCATAGTGCTTGCCCTGAGCCTGTTTGCTCTCAGATGGGTTCCTCACCCTTCCTCTGCTCTGCATCTTAGGTGTGTTGACCTTTATATGTTACGTTTGTCTGGCTCCTTTGTCAGTTGGCATTTATCTGGGTTCTGCCAATGGGAGACGGAGATTGGGACTTTGGAACTGGGGGCAGAGAGGAGAAGCCAAGGTCCCCCTGTCCCATGTCACCCATCACCCCCCCCCCCCGCCCCGTGGTTTATTTTCCCCTGGTGACCCTGGGTTCTGGTTGCACCATCCCCTCCTTCTGCCCCTCTGGCCTTAGGGTGCTAATGGCTTCCCACTATAGACTGTCTCTGGGATGAGTCACTGGCCATTTTGTTTCTGTCAACATCTGTGAATTAAAGCCCCTCTGTTTTAAACATTCAAGTGGTTTCTATTTCCTCACTAGACCCTGACTGATGCACCCCACATTGTCACAACTTAGAATACTTCAAAAGATATTTATCCCTCAGGGGTATTCAACCGATTTAGGAAGCATTACTCAGTATATAGCTGTCTTAGAAGATAGACATATGACCCGTAGTGCCATGAATGATACATAGGTTAGAATTTGGCTCTGTGTAATATATTAACATAGTGAAGGAAAAAGAGCCCATACTGTATAACACTACATTTGTTAGAACCACAGGTACTATACTTTTAAAAGCTCCTTTATACCTTGTGTTTAGTGAGGAGAAATTGTGGTGCAGTATGGAGCTTTGGTGGCACAGTGGTTAAGAGCTTGCCTGCTAACCAAAAGGTGGGCAGTTCGAATCCACCAGCCACTCCTTGGAATCCCTATGGGGCAGTTCTACTCTGTCCTATAGGGTCGCTGTGAGTCGGAATTGACTCAGTGGCAATGGGTTTTTTACTGTGCCAAAATTCCAGGAGACTTGGTATGCAACCAGTTCTTGTGACCCAGGCAAACCCTAGGTGGTTCTTCACTGCCAGCACTTGGGGTTATATAATGTGATGTTTGCAGTGAGAATTGTGTGCATGATCACAGTATGCTTATTTAGAAATGGATGTGTGACATGGTATGGGAAGGAGACCCTTCAAGAAAGTATCTAGCTTACTGTAGTTCTTGTCAGTATTCTCATAGTCTGGATTCAAGAAGAGGTATGTATCGTGGGTGAATTTTAGCACAACAGATTCCAATGTGGAGAGTGTGCAGGCTCCTCACCGAGAGAGTAAGCAGTTTCTTTCTATAAACTGCTCAGGTAGCTAATACTGAAAAAAATTGAATATTTTAAGGATCAAAGAAGAAAGTAAAAAGCTAGTATTATCCTGAAGTTTTCATTAGAAGTGCTTTAGACAGTTTTAAGCTGCTTGCTCTTATCCCCTGGTTAAATGCTGGTCTGTTTGGCTTTAGGTTTTGTACAGTATTAGAATACTGTGAGGGAAACGATCTGGACTTCTACCTGAAACAGCACAAATTAATGTCGGAGAAAGAGGCCCGATCGATTATCATGCAAATTGTGAATGCTTTAAAGTACTTAAATGAAATAAAACCTCCCATCATACACTATGACCTCAAACCAGGTAAGTCTTAACTCTTAGGAGACAGGATTGGTGGCTTTGCTTTGCTCTTGTAAGTGATATCTAGTTTTACAAAGTTAGAGAATTTGGCAGGAGCCGAGAAGGCCTAATAACTTTAGATTGCCTGGGTAGGTGTGGGAATAAAAACCACGAGGTGCTGGGTTTAGGAGGGTGGGTCCTATTAAAGACCGTGGAGGAACAGTGCCCTTGTCTTCACAGCCAGGGCAGTTTATGATGTCAGTCTGATTAAGAAAGAACTGTTCTGGCTAGTTCAGTTTTGTTTTTTCCCATTACTCACACTATGTAGCATTTCCTCTATTCCAAGTCTCTTTGATAAGTGCCCAAAAAGTTAACAACTTACTTTGCACATATGCGTCCCATTGCATTAAATCCTGAGCAGTTTTTTCATCGTTTTGCATAATTGCCATCTAACTTTCATCGTCCTAGCAAAGAGTGGAGGGCAGTCATCTCAGAGATCCCATAGCCTTCTCCCCTCCTGTTTCTCTTTTTATCTTTCTGTTATTTTCTCTTTTCCTTTATTTGGTTATCTTTAGCTGTTTTTTTTTTTTAAGAATTCTTTATGTTCCATGTAGACAGCTCTGACTAACTTAGCTTGAGTTTTAGGAAAATGATCCCTGTTCTCCTCTTGGTGTGGTGCAGTTGTTAACTGGTTTCCTTTTCTGGAAGCTCCATATTAAATCTCAGTATTCTTTAATGTTCTGATATAATTCAAGTGACTAAAAAAGTAATTACGATTAAGTGATTTTTCAAAAGGTGGCTATTGTGTGATTGGGTTTTCCATCACACTGATTTTAACACAATTTCCTGCCATAGGAGCTGTAGGTGGCACTGTGGTACTAGCTGTGATTCCCTTGTAGGCTTTCTTTTATTAATTTTTTCCCTGAAACTGCTGTTCTAAACATAGTGGTTTAGGGATTCTTACAGAAAGTTCAGTTGGAAATTTCCCACCATTTTTGGCCAACTTTACAAGTGGTATTTTACTTTAACAGGCCCCCCCGCCCCACTCCCTGTGCTCATAGTAATGTTTTTGGCACATTAACCAGGTGATTCTTGGAAAATAGAAGTCTGCAGCCAGACACTGAGGACTCTCCCCCAGCATCAGGCATCCAAATTACTTTATTCCAGGGACTCAGATGTTTACTTTTGTGTGCAAGAATTTGCCATCATTTGTCCTGTTGTCTGTTATTACCTAGGATTTTTCTCTTAATCAGTAAATCTCCGCTTATTCATGAAGATTTTTTGTCTTTTTAGGTAATATTCTTTTAGTAAATGGTACAGCGTGTGGAGAGATAAAAATCACAGATTTTGGTCTTTCCAAGATCATGGACGATGATAGCTATAATTCAGTGGATGGCATGGAGCTAACGTCACAAGGTGCTGGTACTTACTGGTAGGTATCCAGGAGGGCTGTCAGGTAGACTGGTGGATATGTGCTTGTCTGCTGTGCTGAAACATTGATAACTAATAAATAATTTTTGCACACTGTCTGCTAGGGCAAAAATGCTGCAAATCAAAGCAAATTTTCCTCCCCAAATTGTTACTGTCTCTTGAGCAGTTTGACTCTCGTATTTTCATCAATTTGTTTTAATTTTTCTTTCTTTTTTGAAAACCATTGACAGGTTTAAGTGGCCAGGTGTTTGAGATATACCTTTCCTCTGTAGAGCTGGCCTTAGAAGAGATTGTTCATGTGGTGTGATATAAAGAGGCCCTAAATTCTTTTCAGTACAAATGCAGGTCTCTCTATTTATGGGCTCATGGGATAAGTTGCCTGAGGATGATGGAGTCTTAAGAACTAAGGAGTTGTGAAGATCAGGCTGTAAAGTAACCACAACATCACATGAAATCCATACAGGAAAAAATGAGCACAGTTTACCAAAGACGTTTATCCATTTCTGGGAGCCATGGTCTAAAAGGTTTTGAGGCACAGTTCTTCCCATCTGTTGTCACTCATCTCCCAGACCACAGCTAGCTCTGCCTGCCTGTTCTATGACCTGTTCTACCTTTGCCTACTAATGCCTTTGACAGAGCCATAAAATATACCTGCAACTCTGGCCTATAACTTTGTTACTGTAAAAGAGTATTAACAAAACTTCCTTTTTGCTTCTGAGGTGGGAAGATAATGGTAGCACAAAGCTACATACTGGAGTGTGTGATTCTGAACATGGAGAAAGCCTCCAGTGGCACTGAGGGAGGAGTAACACGTGCCGTTATACCCCAGAGTCAGTTGGTCAGATCACTTTTCTTTGGGACTGGAAGGCCCTGGGCCTTAAGAGAATACTGAGTGTCTGGGAATGAGGATGTCCATGAGTAAGCAGACAGGGAAGAGGGGCCTGCCCTTCACAAACACAGGATCAGCCCTCTTTTCCTCAGCTGAATCCTGCTGATGACACCATGAACATAAAGTTTCTACTTTGCATTGCTTCTTACAGTTTGTAGACATAGCACCTATAGTAAAAATCAGCCCCAAATTAAAACTGCAAAATTCTAGGTTTAAAATAGAAGCTACGTTTACAGTGTGTTTATTCACTGTGGTGGTTATTGTGGGTTGGTGTTCCTGTCACTAGTTAAACGATGCAAAAATATATGCTGTTGGAAACTCTGGGAACAGGTCTGTATACCACGGCTATATAAAGCCACTAGACCTTGGATTTGAGCTTTTTTTTTGGATAGGTTGTTTTTTTAAAAAAAAGTAGTTGTTTCACGTTTAAATTAGTTTTCTCATTGTTACCTAGTGCTGTTTGCTAAGCTATAGAAATTAGTGGTTGGAACTTGAATAAAAATTATATAAATGTCTGGGATTTATTCAAAGTAATCTGTTTGGGGTGGTGGATAGGAGTGTAGATGAACAAAGATTGGCTACACATTGATAATTATTAAAGCCGGATGATAGTTACTTGGGGGTTTATTATACTGTTCTCTCTACTTTAGATTATATTTGAAATTTTTCATAATAAAAAGTAAGGTAGAGAGGAGGTACTGGGAAAATTAAATTGTATGGATTTCTATGAAGATTTGAAGAGTCTCCATGTTGTAGAAACATTGTCGTAGTCCCCATCCTCAATATGTCATCCTCTTAGATGACTTAGAGCGTTGCAGTAGGCCAGGAGCACATAACAAATTCCAAGTGCCTGTTTGCAGTATTTGGTTGTTCCAGAATTCTGTGTTGAATACTTCTTAGACTAGGCCTTGAGAATTATTTTTTTATATAAGGACTTTTATTATGATAGAATGTGGAACCATGATTGTCTTTTAGCAGAATTTAGTGTAGTATCATAGAACTGTCTTCTACGCTCCTTCCCAAAGTCCTTGATAGGGAATTAGAATGTTAATTATTTTTAATATTATTTGAGTGAAGAACTAGTTTATTTCTTCATTTAAGTGATTTGCATACCAAAGTCACCGTGTCTTTTATAGTCTAAATATTTTGCTGATTTACTACGCCTGCTTTTCCCCATCACCTCCCCCCCCCCCACAAATTAAATACATTAAAATTATCATTTTAGAGTACAGGTTATATTTGTTAGTTACCGAAGATCATGTTTATGAAATATTAAGAAATCAAGAACCATGGATTCTAGGGCTAAGGGAGGTTTTAGTGGCATTTGGTGGGAAGAGCTCTTCTTTTTATAAATTCTTTCATCTTTCCTACATTTTCATTTCTTTGCCTTTTTTCCCGCTTAATTTTTATTCTTCAGTGTATGTTTTGGCTAAAAGTCTTCATTGTGAAATAATCTAGTCAGAGGTATTAATCATTCACAACGTCTGTTAAAAATAACAAATAAGAAATGAGAATATGAAACTACTTTTTGAAAAAAGAAGAAAGCCTGTTATCTGAAACTAAACTTGTTAGAGATGGTGGATTGGAGAGGGAACATTTTCTATCTCTCACCTCTTATTATCCCTTTCAAGCTATAAGTTTAGATTTTTATACTAGGAGCACAGCAGGGTCCAAAATAAAGAGTTTGTCACAGAAGGGATTTTGCCAGCCTGAAATCAGCAGAAATCGATTGGTTATCTTTAGAATTCTGCATTCCAGCTCTGCCGTGGCTAAGGCTCCAGAAGTGAGTGGAAGCAGATTTGTTTGGTTTCTTAAATGCCAAGAGGCACTTAACCTTCCACACCATACAATTTGGTGTGGTTGGCTGTCCAGCTGTCTCTTTAGAGGCCAGTGGTGGGGAGGGAGGAATTCAGATGAGGATTGAGTTGTGCTAACAACTAGTTTGTTTGGCTTTTGCTAAACTATTTGTTAGTCTTCCAGTAAGCCCCGGATCACCTATAAAGAAGGAAATGTAATATACTCTCTGATAATTTGGGCTTCCATGCCACCGTTGATTAGATATTGGAGTTATTTCCTGCCCAGATTTCCCAAAGAGGCCAGCTTAAGAAGACAGAACAGACTCTCCCCTCAGAGATCTGTACTGGCTCATGAATTCATTTGGACTTCTAAAACAATTACTTAAGTTAGATGTATCTCCTTTAGCCAACATGAAAGGAAACTCATACCACTTCTAGTTATATTTTAATGTTTGTCAGTTGAGCTGTTATAAAAGGGAATGCACTTCTTTTGTGCCTCCCCCTTGTAATTTATTAAATGACGCTTATAGGATGCACAACCATAGGAAAGGAGGTTGGGGTGGGTAAAGTAGGGACAAAGGAGAATATTTCTCTCTGAGTAAACTGAGAAATGTATTTTAAGGAAGGTCCTGTAGGACTTTTCGTTGACTTTTTCCAGCCAAGTCTAAGTTGCTTTGTCAGCTGATAAAATTCATGTATCATTATTTCCAACAAGGTCTTCTACTTTGTCTTTTAGTACATGTCTTAGATTTATGCAATCATTTCTCTAGGAATTTTATTTCCCTTTTGTCCCAGGTATTTACCGCCAGAGTGTTTTGTGGTTGGGAAAGAACCACCAAAGATCTCAAATAAAGTTGACGTCTGGTCAGTGGGTGTGATCTTCTACCAGTGTCTTTATGGAAGGAAGGTAAGAAAGAAGTCTGATGTAGTGGCTTGACATCTTCTTTGAGTGGCACAGGTACACAGTGGCTCAGTATGAGTTATTCCCTTGGCATTGATCATTGAGTTATAAAGAATGGAATCCTAAAGGTGATAGTTTGAAGAAAATACAGACTTAATAATAAAAGCTTTATGCATAGGCAGAAATTCTTGACCATAGGGCACCTAATGCATCCTACTGAACTGTTGAAAACATGTGTTTTTTGCTGTTCTCAATGTAGGACATGTTTTTATTCTGATATATAGTAACTTACACGTGAAATAGTTTATTAAATTATATCATCTTCCCAAGAGCCATTCTTTAAGGGTCCCAGCAACTGAAACTGGAAATATCGCCAGAGTTCTTTATTGCTAGCCACCTCATTACTTAAAGTTATTACTAACGAAAGTGTGCTTTGTGGTTCTGTACTGGGGAGACCATGTCAGAAAGTATTCATCTTCTGTTACCTCTGAGTAAGGTGTCATATCATTTGAGCAAGTAATAACCTAGGTAAGAAACTACACCTGATGAATTTTCACATTTGTCTTTCCTCATAAGCATAATATCTTATGAATGTATACATTAGGATCCAGTTGTGTGTTTATAGTCATATTTCTGCTTTCAGTATGTTTGTATGCTTCAGTGCTGCCCATTGTGCTGTGTGTATAACTCTGTTGGGAGTTCTACACCTCCTCTGGAGTCTTTAATATTTGATTACAATCCCCAGAGCTGCCTTTTAATTCATATTTCAGCTTTCTCTTTAACTTCTCCTTGGTCTTTCCTTCCTTTATCCTACCTCTCTAAAGTGGAAAAACTCTTCAGAACTAGTAAGGCTTAATTATTGTTTATAATCTCTGATAATGTTGAAGTGCTGCTGATAATGGTGGTAGAGGTTATCCAGAAAGAATTGTTTGAGATTTCTCACTGGAAACACTGTAGCGGTGACTCTAGTCTTGAAGTTTTTTTAAAGACTCTATTAGAAAATGGCAACTTGGGGTGCAAGTGAAGGCACTAAGTAGCCCCAACTCTGTTTTTCCCCTACTCTCCCCTTTACCTATTCCACCCCTTCTTTTTCGTCTCTTTTTATCTGTGTCTTAGGTCTGCTGGTGGCACACGTATGTATTGTTTAAGTTCACAGGTGCCACTCAGAACAAAAGAATTGCTGGTTTTTGCTCTGAATCTTCTTTTTCTTGCTGTCAGCAAAGCTTAGCAGCAGCATATTATGTAGGAGATGCTGCTCCTGGTCCCAGCTCTGCCTGGACCTAGATTTTGGACTATGAGCAAGATACTTAAGCTCTGAGCCTTTTTCCCCTTTACCTATAAAAGGAGAGGATTAGAGATCACCTCCAAAGTTTATTCCAGCACTTCTCGTTGGGAGATGCCTTCTCCTTTCCCCTCCCCTGTGGTTTTCAATGGTGTTCTGCTTAGTTTTAACCAGAGACCCACCTTTGTTTGTTTGTTTTTATATGATAGCCTTTTGGCCATAACCAGTCCCAGCAAGACATTCTACAAGAGAATACTATTCTTAAAGCTACTGAAGTGCAGTTTCCACCAAAGCCAGTAGTAACACCTGAAGCAAAGGTAAGTTTTGACCCATTGGCCACCTGAAATGATTGCTCTGCTTTCATTATTTCTTTGGGTAACTGTGGATGGATTATTCAGTACAAAATTCAGGAGTCATTATAAACATTAGTATAGGCGTGAATTAATATTGATAAATATTGCTTACACCCTGCACACTCCATCGCCCGAGTCCAGTATTGGGAATATTGATGGGTGGATTTTCTAATCCACGACAAAGGCTCCCTATAGGCAGAGAAGGAGAGGGAGAGCAGACTCTGCCACAGAGATGTACCAAGTGTTGTAGGCATCTGAAGGACACCCCACTTGGTGCATACCCAGGGGTTGTGATCAACTTGGGGAGTCATAGCAGAGTATAAAGGGCTCTAGAGTGAAATAGCAAGTGAGTGGTCACAGCAGTAAATTCCGTGGCAGTTGGTGAGGGCATTACAGAAAAACTAATTGAGGCAAAGGAAACATGGAGTGGAAGGTGGAGAAAGGAAGTTATATCAGCCTTGGTACATGTGCAAAACAAGATTCTAGTAGCTACCATAGTTTTTCCTTGCTCTGTTATTTATTTTTATACATTAACCAGTTCTACTTAGGTAGGTTTTCAGCCCCATTAGATGCTGTGGTCATTTGGCATTTTTTAAGTCAGCATGAACAGTTACAGATCTAATGCCTTTTCTCCATGCTTGGTCTCTGTTGTCCCTTCCCAGTGTACCCGTGTGAAGTAGGTTAGGAAAGAGCCACTTTTCAAAGTGCTTTGGCTGATGTGTTCCGTGGTAAGAATAACATTTTTCCCAGGTGTTTATGATTCCTGATCAGTGACTTCCTGGCCCCATCATTCAGCAGTGTAAGCACTACATGCCACGGAAGTAAATCTGCAAGAAGAAGTCTTCTGGTACACTCCCAGGGCAAATGCAGGTGTCCTGGCCGTTGTGGGAGCGGGCAGTGCAGGGCAAAGAGGCCCAGCTTTGAAGCCTGATGGACCAAATTTTGGTGTCATCTCTGTACTCAGTAGCTGTGTGGCTTTAAGCAAGTTTACTTTAACTTTTTGAACTGCTTTTCCTCATCTGTAAAATGTGAAGACAAACAACTTCCTTTAAAGGTGGTTATGAGGTTTAAGTGACCTGTATAGTGCCCAACGCTTGATACCTCCCGCAGTTGCTCTTACTACCCATGCCACAGCTGCCAGAGTCGACGCTGGGAGACTTGAGTGCGTGGCCTGACAGGTGTTTAATTATCCTCATCTGTCAGTCCTTTCTAAACTATTTCTTCATACCACTTTTGCCAAATTTTGGTGTTTATTCAGTAAATAGGTGAACAGATGTTCCTTAAACTTTAGAGACTGTTAGCTGGACCTATGAATAATACAGAAATATTTCCAAATCTTTCCACTTACGCTCTGCAATCTCCCTCCTCTTCCGCCTTCTAAACGTGCATTTCTCCAGCCCCCTGTCCTTCTCCTTCTACTCCTCCAACAACAAATATTTATTGAGAGCCTGTTCTAGGCAGTGGAGAGGGAAATGTGAATGTGTAGCAATGAACTACACAGACAAGGCCCTGCCTTTAAAGAGCTTATATTCCACTAAGTGAGAGAAACAGTAAAACAAAAAAAACAGGTACATTTCAGATGGCAATAAATGGTATGAAGAAAATATATCAGAGTTGGGGGAGCCAGGGAGGTAGGAACCTCTCTTAAAAGGCATGTTGAGGGCAGACCTCAGTGATGAAGGAACAGTTTGAACAGAATCTTGAATGAAGAGAAGGTGGGAGCCATGTGTCGATCAGGGGCAGAGTGTTCTGAGCAGAGAGAAGAGAGTAGGGCTGGGATGTGAGCGTGAGCTGGGCACGTCCACAGAGCAGAGCAGAGCAGAGAGTGGTGGAAGCGCTGGGCAGAGCTGACTGTCAAACATGATGGAAAGCAGTTGAGATGAAGGTCTTAGGGCAGCAATGTGATCTGATTGCTGTTTCAGTAGCCCACATTGACAGCTGTGCAGAGAGAAAATTCAAGGTAAAAGTTTAATTGACCACTATGCAACCCAAGATAACCTGTTGAGCTCTACTTTCAGGTAGCTCACTAAGAAACGTTCCTCTAAGACATAAAATGATACTAGTGAAGATTGTGCTTCTTAATTCAAGTAGATACATGAGACAAAATGGGCAGCTCCTGTCTGGAGGCAAGACGAGAAGACAGAAAGGGATAGGAGCTGGTGGAATGAACCCGGGAATTCCAGGGTGGAAAGGAGGAGTGTGCTGTCACATTGTAGGGATAGCAACTAGGGTCACATAACAATGTGTGTATAAATATTTGTATGAGAAACTAACTTGAGCTGTAAACTTTCACCTAAAGCACAATTAAAAAAAAAAAATTAATGATTGTGCTAATGCTTTTACAAACGCTTTCACAGAATGTTTCCCCAGTATATATATATTTTTAACAATATTGTGTTTTCGGTGAAGGTTTACATAGCAATTCCTACACAAGTAGTTTGGTGACACTGGTCACGTTCGTCACGATGCTGAGCATTCTCATTATTTCCGTTCTGGTTGTTCCATTTCCATTGGTCTCATTTCCCTGCCCCCTTACATTCTCATCTTTGTTTTAAAGTAATTGTTGACTGTTTGGTCTCATCTAGGTGGCGTTTTAAAGGAGCACAGTACTTATGGGTGATAGTCATTATTTTGTGAGCCAAACTTGTTATTTAGCTGCTAGGTGACCTCAGGGATTAGTTTTGGTTCAAGGTTTGAAGAGTATCTCAGGGCAATAGTCTCCAGTAGTCCTCTAATCTCAACCAGTCCAATAAAGCTGTTTGTTTTTTAGGAATTTGAAGTTCTGTTCCACATTTTTCCCTCATATTTCAAATATACAGAAAAGTTGAAAAGAATTTTACAGTGAACATCACCTATATTCTGCAATTAACATTTTACCGTTTATCTTTCTATCCACCTATCCATTCATCTTTTTTTGATGCATGTCACAGAAATTGATAAGACATCCGTGCACTTTCCCCCAGATACTTCAGTGTGCATATTATTAACCAGAGTTCAGTATTTGTTTACAGCACTTTTCCTTTTTAGGTAAAATTTACATACAATGAAATGTACAAATCTTTAAAAAAAAAAAAAGGGTTCAATTTGTTTTTATCTTCCTAGTGCTTTTATCAAGCAACTACTTCTAGGTGTCTGACTTTGAAAAACCTGGATTGGCATTATACTTTCATGTTGTGTTAATTAAACACAGAAAAATAGAAAAGTGATTGCTTGTTTCATATTTTAGAGTTTTAAAAATTGGTCCAGTTATTTAAAATGGTTACATTAAAAAACTTTGATTAAATCGAACTGTCTGGTTAAAGAATGAGAAGTAGGCTGCAAGCAGAAAAACACAGATAATCTTTCTAAGGGCCTTTATCATAAGAGTTGTAGAAACTAAGACTCCATAGTCTCTACGAGGAAACCTCCGTGTTGGTGGCAGATTTGGATTCCAGAGCAAACCCCTCTCAGTATGCAGTACTCTTGGGGATGCAGGTCCTATTCAGACTTCCCTTCACTACTTAGATTTGTGTCTAATCATTTGCTTCATGTCCTCCTAGAGAAGAGGAGGTACGTAGGGAAAGCATTTAACAGTCTGGTCCATGTAGTGTTAGTCAAGTGCTGGTCTCCTTGACCTGCGTTTGGTGGTAGTTTGCCGTCAGAATTTTCCACTTCCAGGAAGTTTACAAGCGGCCATGGCTTGTAGATGAAGTCACACTGTGCCCATCGGAACTAGCCAAGGCAACGAGAGTTTTTTTGCTGGTTTTGGTGCTTTGGGGGCAGAGGTATTTCGAGGCCGTGTCCCCACCCGCCTTTAGGAATGGCTGCCCCCTCTGTGACAGAGGAGTCTTTGGCAGCAGAGAGGTGCTGCTGCCGGAGCGCCTCCGTCCGTTGTCTTCTCTGGGTCTGCCTGGTAGTTTTGTGGAAAGGCCCTCAGCCGCTTCTCTTTAGGAGATATTTGCTCTGGGCTCTGGGGCTGCCACAGAGCCTCAGGGAGGCCTCTTGGGGTCCCAGGATTATCTGCTTCGGGCTTCCTCAAGAAACTTTCCTTTACAGGCGTTTATTCGACGATGCTTGGCCTACCGAAAGGAGGACCGCATCGATGTCCAGCAGCTGGCCTGTGACCCCTACTTGCTGCCTCACATCCGAAAGTCAGTCTCCACAAGTAGCCCTGCTGGAGCTGCTATTGCATCAACTTCCGGGGCGTCCAATAACAGTTCTTCGAATTGAGACCGACTCCTAGGCCACAAACTGTTCAGCGCACAAAGTGGACAAATGGCATTCAGCAGCGGGTTTGGAACATAGCGAATCCGAATGGATCTCATGAAACCTGTACCAGGTGCTTTTATTTTCTTGCTTTTTTCCCATCCATAGAGCATGACAGCATCGATTCTCATTGAGGAGAAACCTGGGGCAGCTCTGGCCAGGCCTCGTAGGAAAAGGCCCTGCCCGAGGTTACGGCGTCAACGGCCACTGTGTGTGGCTGCTCTGAGTGAGGAAAAATCAAAAAGAAAAACTGGTTCCATGTACTGTGAACTTGAAAACACGCAGACTCAGGGGGGTCCCTGACGCAGTGCTTCAGATGAAGAATGTGGACTGGAAGATACAGACTGGGCTAGTCCAGTGTCTATATTTAAACTTGTTCTTTTCTTTTAATAAAGTTTAGGTAACATCTCCTGAAAAGCTTGCAGCACAAAGGCTCAGCTGGGGATGGTGTTTGACTTCGGAGGAAAAAAGTTGCTATTGCCCGTTACAGGCACTAGAGTTAGTGTTTTATCCCTAAATAATTTCAATTTTTAAAAACATGCAGCTTCCCTACCCCTTTTTTATTTTTGAAAGAATACATTTGGTCATGAAGTGAAACCCGTATTAGCAAGTACGTGGCAATGTTCATTCCATTCAAATGCAGCTTTCTCCTCCGTCTGGTCTCCTGTTTGCAATTGCTTCCCTCCTGTCAGTAGGGAAAAGATTGAGTGGGAGTACTGAGATGTGTGGGCTTTGCCGTTGGACAAAGAAGGAGGTTAGAAGACTGCAGCTTGGAGTCTCTCTAGGTTTGCAACTATTTCTTCACAATTTGAACACTTGACGGTTGTCCCTTTTAATTTATTTGAAGTGCTATTTTTTTAAATAAAGGTTCATCTGTCCATGCAGTCCTCTTGGATTCTCTGAGTATAGTGGCTATGGAAACTGCTCCAAAGGTAGGCAGAAAAGGGGCTGGGGAGCCAAGCGCTCTAGGGATCGGCCATTCCTACCCACAGTCTTTGTGTGCTTGCTAACTGGTGTACAGTTCTTGTTAACCACATATTAAAACTTGATCAGCGCATAAGCTTTCCTCTGTTAGATCTTTTGGCAGGAAACAACCTCCCCCCCGTTTCTCTAAATCTATGAGTGTGTGCTGGTGTGTGCGTCTCTGTGTGCATGTGCACACACACTTTGTCTAACTCACTGGAATAGATTCTTCAAGTGGAATTTAAAAAAATCATCGCAAGGGAAATAGGTATTTCAAATATGAACATTCTTTTGGAACTGTTTTTTTTTTTTTAATTGGTTGTTTCTGAGACATATGATCAACTGAAGATGGAACTGAAATGGGAGACGCGTGGCCCCACCGTGCCCTTGAAACAGCAGAGAGGGAAGAAGGCCAGAGCCTGCACATGTGGTAGCCAGCTTGGAATGTTACTGACATATGTGGCATGAGGGCTCAGCCAGAAATATTTAAAGATGCAGCATTCAGGCCTGTGAGTTCCCTGAGCTGGGGAGGGCAGTCAGGAAGAGTAGAGAGCTAGCGACTCTGATATTTCTTTCACATGCAGGAGATGTCACTGATGAAACATTTTCTAGGCCCTTTGTTTATTTTGTGGACCTGCCCCACTCTCCACAGTATCAGGCAATCTTAGGGGAAGATGGAGTGTTCCAGAATGGAGAGAAGGTCTTGGGTGGGTGTTGTTTGTGGAACTCTGAATGAGAGGAAGTCAGCCCTAGAGACCTCGGTGCCCCTAGCTTTCCTATACTGTTTTATTGCATTGTTCGTGTGTGTCTGTACACATCCCCCCCGACCCCAAACCATAGCCTCCGAGCTGGTAAGCACAGAGCACCCACCGTGGGGTCTCCCAGGTTGAGCCAGTGTTGAAAGGATGGTGACTGCATACATGAAGAAATGGAGGGAGCTGGGCCCGTGTTTAAACTCACTCATAATTAAATTCTGTTCCTTTCTCCCCCGTCTCATTCAGTGATCTTGCAGGTTTTTTTGTTTTTTGTTTGTTTTTTTTTTAAGACTGAAAAAATGCTGCATCTTTAAATCTTCCCTCTAACTTCCTATCTCCTTTTATCCCATGGGCTTATAAGTGAAGCTGTCAATCTACCTTTTCTGCCCTCTTTTGCTGTGACCAGGTCTGAGACCTGGCTGGAGCTGATTGGGCTTGGCCGAGTCTGGGCAAGGCCTCTCCTCGCTGCGGGAGACAAGCCCCAGAGAACATGCAGAGTGCTGACCTTTTTCTAGCCTGTTAAGTAGCCAGTGAAATCACCGAGTAGAGTTCTTCCGTGACCTATTTTGTTAATATGGGTTTTGCTTTTTCCAAGGATAGTCCCTTATTGCCACAATGTTCATTTACTTCAAACAGTGACAAAAAACATATGTATTAATTTGTAATTAAATCCAACCAGCCTGTTTTGGCCTTTCCCAACATGAGTGGGGGCGACGAATATTAAAAATAAGTTTTAAGAAGTGAATTTCCCAGCCTCTTGATTTTACTCTAGCTCTCCAGCTTCATATGGGGCCCTTACACCTAGGATGTATGTAGGGACTCCTGGCAACTAGCTGAATCCCAGTGGACATTGCAGGCATGATGGGAATGTGTTGATTCATGCAACACCTTTTGCACCTCTGATGTGCCAAGCACTATACTTGGTGGGAATATGGCAGTGAACAGGGTAGGGCGGGGGCAGCCATCAGCTATATCTAGGGGCGAGGGCACTAAGCCTCAGGAAGGGATGGGTGCATGGGTCTGAGGGCAGCGTTAAATGGAGAATGGCCAGTAAGAGCCATGTGTCCCCACTTGTGTGGCTGACCCACTTCAGTTGCTGTCTGTTTTAGAAAGGTCTGTCTACCTCCTTCCCTCTACTCTGGGAAGGATGGTTTTCCTCCAGCTGAGATGATTAGCAGTCAAGGAGCTCTTGTGTTTCTTAATTTTGAAAATAACTCTCTTTAAACATAGTTGTCTCTTTTAGAATCCTAGAGCTGGGAGCAAGCATCTGGTCCAGATCTTTGCTTCTCAGAAGGTGAAGTTTATAACTAACCTGACCTACCCTGCTGATTTGTTTTTCTTTCTATCCTTTATTTCATCATCCTAATTGCCTAAACTATCTTTGTCTATAAATAAAATCTGCCTCTGGGTAAGCTGGAGAGATGGGAGGAGAGGAGGAGACATGGCACACAAACTTGCTAGGGTGCCAGGGTCCCTGCTTCCAAAAATGAGCTGTTCCATCTCAGAAGCGGGTGTTTTCGTTGTTAAGGCAGAATCACACAGAGGTAAAAGCCTAGGCTTTCAAATAACATTTCTGGTTCAACTCCCACCCCTACAAGCTTCAGGGATGTCTCCTGGGACAGTAGTAAAAAGTAAGGTTGTAAGGTATGCAGAGTGCCGGGCACAGAAGAGGGGATCAAAAAATGTGGTTAAGAAAAGTCACAAAGTGGAAGAGCCGATCCTGGAGCTCCCAGGTGTGCTGACTGGAGTTGCAGAGCGCTTTTCTACCGACCAGGTTGTCAGTAGATCTTTTGCCTTGGGTAAGTGATGCAGACCTTTTGGGAGCCTTCTCCGTTGTCTTACAAGGTCAGTAGTCTCCTCTTAATCTGCATCCAAGACTGCTCTGGTGAATCTGGGAGGAGCATCCTATAAGCCAGTGACTCTCAAAGTGTGGCTCCCAGGTCAGCAGCATCAGCATCACCTGGGAACTTGTTAGAAGTTCAGATTCTTGGGCTCCACTTCAGACCTACTGAATCAGAAATTGGGGGTGGGGCCCAACATTCTCTTCTTAACAAGCCCCCAGGTGATGCTGATGCAGGCCAAGTGTGAATACTGCTGTGTGCTATCTCCCAGATGGGATGAGCCCTTAAGGGTACCAGTCCTGCTCACCGCCCCCCCCCCACCCCCGCCAGCCAATGCTAACAAGGGCGGGGTCACTAGAGAGGGTGGGCTGCCTGAGCTCACCCAGTGGGAAGACCAGAGATAACCCTTGTTCTGTTTCCTACATTGTTGTTGTTGTTAGGTGCCCTGGAGTCGGTTCCAACTCATAACGACCCCCATGGACAACAGAACGAAACACTGCCCTGTCCTGCGCCATCCTCACAGTCGTTGCTATGCTTCAGCCCACTGTTGCAGCCACTGTGTCAGTCCGTCTTGTTGAAGGTCTTCCTCTTGTTTGCTTACCCTCTACTCTACCAAGCATGATGTCCTTCTTCTCCAGGGACTGGTCCCTCCTGATAACATGTCCAAAGTATGTGAGATGAAGTCTCACCATCCTCAGCTTCTAAGGAGCATTCTAGCTGTACTTCTTCCAAGACAGATTTGTTTGTTCTTCTGGCGGCCTGTGGTATATTCAGTATTCTTCGTCAACACCGTAATTCAGAGGCATCAATTCTTCGGTCTTCCTTATTTCCTACATTAGTAATGAAAATCTATCTTAAGCTCTAGGCTTTCATAGGACCAACACCATGTATACATATGCTGCCTTTGTGGGGAGCATCAGGGAGCACCTACGATACATCCCTTGTACAGGTGCCTTGGTTCCTAACATACTCATTCACTCCTTTAGGCAGTCTCACGCTCCTTTTTGGCCTGGGAGTTAATGGGTCCTGTTAATTTTTCCGTTTACTTGAGGGGTCCAGGGCTGCGGGAGCAAGCTGGCTGAGACCTGGGTCTGCTTAGGAAGCCAACCCAGAGTTGGAGTGTGGAGAGCCCGGGGCAGGACCGCAGCCCTGGGGAATGGGTGGAGGAGGAGGGCTAAAGAGGGAGGGGTTAGGGACTCTGGCTGCTTCTGAGCTCTGCGGGTGGGTTGGGGGAACCTGCCAGAGCTGGGAAAACAGGCCAGGGCGCAGATCTGGGACCTGGTGGGGGCAGGGAGTACAAGAGCCCTATTGTGCTGGGGAAGCTGAGCAGGGCAGAGACAGACTGGAGTCAGGGAAGGGATGTGTGTGTCTGTGTGAGGAGCTGGGCAAGAGACCCCTGTGGGGAGAGGGTCAGAGAGCAGCTGGCTGACTGACTTGGCCCCACCCACCCACGGCCACAGGTCAGCCCTCCTGGATGTGGAGGGAAGTGCCCAGCTCCGGAGCAGCCTGCAACTGGGCTGGCCTTGTCCTGCGCCAGCTGAGCCCTTTTACCTTGCAGGCAGCTAGGGGGTGGGGGGGCAGGGAGGGCAGGCTTAGCCAAGGGAAGGGGTTCTAGCACTTCAGTTTTGCAGAGAAGTTTCTCGGCTGTGTTGCTTCTCAACCCAGGCGTAAGCAAGATAGGAGCACCTTGCTGATTTTACAGGTGAGTAGACTGAGGCCCAGAGAGGATTGGTGACATAGTGGGTAGACCAGGAGTGACTGGGGAGAGGGCTGTAGACTTGGCAATTTTGTGAGGTGGTCTCTCAGCTCCACCCTTGAGCAGAGACTGCTTGTGAGCAAAGACCACGCTTTGGTTCCCAGCTGTAGGCATATCTTGCCCTAACTAGGGTTCTACTCCCGCAGGCTCCCTTTCCTGAATGCATTCCCTCCCCTGTAGCTAGCCTTGGAAGTTTACTTGGAGACCCAGCCCACCTGGGCTAGACCTGAATGTGAGTGGGAAAAGGGGTCATGGCTTCAAAGAACAGTCATGCTTCAGGTTCCCTAAGCCACGTGGTCATGTCATCTTGCTTTATAGATATAAGAATGCGATCAGGTTGCTGGGGATTTGGGGAGGCATCCTGAAGGAGATAGCATTGCACTGGGCTTTGAACATTGGACACAATGAGAAGGGGAGGGGATTGCAGAAACGGCCCCATTCACACTTTTGGTGCTCTTCCCATCCAGAATGTGGGCTGCTCCAAGCCCCTCCATGCTCTCTCTCACCTCTAGGCCTTAGCAAAGGCTGTTCGCCTGCCTTGGCCATCTGACCATCTTTGAAATCTCAGC